TCATTTTCTTATCCGAAAGGAATTTGGGAATTCCGGTTGTACCGTTGCGTAGAGCACGGTGAGATGAGTCCGTAGACACGTAGTGGGCTCGAATCGGAGTTGTAACGAGAGAGATATGATCAAATGAAGCTCAGTGGCATAATCGTAAATATTTTGAAGTGGGATTTTTGGTTAAAAGACGGAATTGCCCCCGTCTCTCACACTCACTCTCTCTCTCCCGCGCGTCTCTCCCTCTCTCCTCTGGTTTTCGCGACAGCCACCGTGGCCGACCACGTTTTGGCCGGCCGTTCGCTCATCCGGCCACCAAAGTCGACGGGGCCGGTACCAAAATGACCGGGCCGCCGTCCTCTTCCTACCCCGGCCAGGTCCCGCTGCCAGCCGCCGTGATTTCGCCGGAAAACGAGGAGAAAAGCTCCGGTTTTGACCGAAACTTCGCCGGCTTCGTTCTCCGTCGTCCGGCCACCGATTCCGGCAAGTGAGGTATGGTTTCTCACCTATTTTCCGAGCTCTAGCTGCCTGTTGGGTAGGAATTGATCGATTTGTAGCGTAGGCAACTCGATTTACGAATTGGGTTTCGGCCGGATTTCGGGATGAGATTCCGGCCACTTCCGGTCAGTTTTTGGGGTACGTCCAAGAACAAAAGTGACTCCAAATTAGGTGTTTTACCTAGGGTAGGAGTCTTGAGCCGTGATCTGTGGTTTTTCCGGCGATGCGATATAGCTTTGGACACCCACGCGCTGCCGGTGCGTGTGGCGGCGCGTGGGCACTGTAGCTGAGGGGCATTTTTGTCCCAATGTGATCCTCAGGTTGTCATGAGCGCGTAGGTGTGCTCGGATCTCAATTTGGATATTGTTAGAGTCTCGAACGGATATCGCATATCGCGTATTTTTCGGGTTCGCTGGGTTTGGACCGTTGGATGGTCCTGAAGTTATTATATGTTGATCTAGGTATTACCAGGATCATATAGGATTCGACGGATCGTAAAACGGAGTCCCAGATACTCCGGAAATGCCAACCCTGGGGTTAGGGTTTTAGTAACCGTCCGATTGTGTGATCGTGAGCGATCCGACCGTCCGATCTGGACCAAACTTGCAGGACGTGCATCCTAGAGCTTGTAGAACCTATTGGAACTTTCGGATCGGAAATTGGAGGTTGTGGGCCCCGCAGGCCCGTTTGACCCTAGGTTGACTGTGAGACCTTTGGGATAGTTCTACCTTCCCAGGAGGGTTAGAATGACCATAGAGACAGGTCCTGATGTTATGGGGATTATGGGGAATTATCGGATGCTAGTTGTTTATTAAGGTGTTTATATGATTAGAATTTAATGTATAAATTATGTATGGATTTTATAATTGAATGTTAGTTTGCAGTGCTATATGCACTACCCTATGTACCTCCTCGGATGTTGACAGACCCCGTACGTGGCCGGGTGCGTCCCGACGTATGAGTGGGAGATATGATTGTGTGAGGGCTGGTGAGAATGTAGCCAGGCCCAGTGTGAGGTCGCACGCGTCTTTGGATTAGCCGGCGTGTTGACAGACCCCGTACGTGGCCGGGTACGTCCCGACGTATGTGGGAGATATGATTGTGTGAGGGCTGGTGAGAATGTAGCCAGGCCCAGTGTGAGGTCGCACGCGTCTTTGGATTAGCCGGCGTGTTGACAGACCCCGTACGTGGCCGGGTACGTCCCGACGTATGAGTGGGAGATATGATTGTGTGAGGGCTGGTGAGAATGTAGCCAGGCCCAGTGTGAGGTCGCACGCGTCTTTGGATTAGCCGGCGTGTTGACAGACCCCGTACGTGGCCGGGAATGTCCCGACGTATGAGTGGGAGATGTGATTGTGTTTGGTGTGTTGTGATGGATAAACCCGAGAATGTATGTATTTATATGGATGTAATGGTTTAATTGATATTATGAGCCAGGATTGATAGGAAAGAGCTACGTGTGGCTTGATCCCTTAGTAGGGTACGTAGGCAGCCTGGGATAGCGCCTAGGTGCAGCCACGACCTAGACACCACTTAGGCGGACCTCGTTGTTGGTCCCGAAACTTGGTTGAATTGAGGCTTGTCCGGTGGAGTGAGTGAGCGAAGATGTGTATAGATAGATTTTGAATTGGATATGTGCATGTTTGATGCATGGAGTTAATTTAAAAAACAGTGTGGGCAGTTCTGCTAGAATCATTTGAAGGCCGGAGGCCATTTATGTAAATTGCATGAGATTATATTGTGCGTGCTGCTGGTTGGGTTATAAAATGTGTTTTATGCAGGTGGAAATTTTGGGGAAATGTTCAATTTACAGGGGAGACTGCCGAAATTTCGGCAGAAAGTCTCGTGCCCTTAATCCTCTTTGGTAAAAGAGGACATAGTTTTAAGGAGTGAACTCGGCATGGGTGTGATGCCGAGGTCTCCGCAGGGTTCGTCTCGGGTTCTGGGAAATTCGGGGCGGGTCCTGTCACCACCCCATTTTGAAATCCTGGATCCGTCCCTGGTCGGATCCAATCACATACTTCTTTAATGCTCTAACCACATACAATAAGCTTTGAGAAAAATAATACAATAGTACTAGATCTGGACAATACAATAAATGAATGAAGTTGACTTCCAGAAATCAACATCTGGGTCTTTTTATAATAGGGAGGGTCTTTTTTATGAAACTCAAGTTTGGACTGTTGAGGAAGAGATGGTTTCAGAAATTAAGAGATTGAAATCAAAACACCCCAAAAAAAAAAAAAAAAAAAAAAAAAAAAAAAAAAACAAACCATCCTCTCCTACTCCTCACCACCTTAGAAATGTCAACATCTATGTTTTTCGCTAGTAAAAAAAGTGGCAACAGTCACCATTACTTGGTGACATTTGTGGCCTTGACGAAAGGCATTAATCACATTTTTTCACCTTTTTGGTGAATAAAAAGGCATTTAGTCACATTTTTTTTATTTTTTTGGGTGACTAAAGCCTTTAGTCACCCCCACAATAGTCATCAAATGTCACTAAATAAATGTTGTAACTTTTTTTTTTTTTTTTTTTTTTTTTTTTTTTTTTTTTGGGTATATTTATATGTTTCAACTTGAAATTTATGTCCCACTAATTCTCTTCTATCCCAATACTAGTGATGAGGTCAATATTGATCACCCATTTTTTGTTTGCTGAAAAATTTCTAGCTTCTAAATAAATCATTATCTGAAGCTCTCACTCATTTCTACCTCTTTGCATTGGAATTCGTATATAATGTTTCGATGACCTGCAATGATCATGGGGCTGCGTTTCTTGAAGCCCAAGTCAACTGTCCCATCTCAAAGATTTTGGACAAACGAGATGTTGGGTTGCTAGAACAATTGCTTCCAACTGATATAGGATCCACACTATCAGACACTTCTACATAAGGTCACCGATGCCTCTACCCTCGGTACATTCATCAGAAGCTGGGCTGCAATTGTACTTGGCTCAGCAAGTACTAGAGATCATGTAGAAATTGGTGGTGCATCGTCTCTTTTCCCACCCCAGGATTTGTGTTTGACGCCTCAAAGATTACTGCTCTCAAGTAGAAAGCTGCTAGTGCCACGGTGCCAAACCAACTCGCGTTGAAGTAGTGCCAGCACTCATTGGGAAATATTTTATTTTTATATCCTATGTGTATTGGAGTATATTTCCACATGTTTCATGTGTATTGGATGGTGCACCAGACAGCTGGTGTACCCAAAACATACAAAAATTACACCACCTCTAGTATATAGCTAGCAAAGTGGTGTGCTTAATAAGCCACCAAATTGTGGGTGAAAACCAAGCACATAACATGGGCTCACATGACTCACTTAAAGCCCACCATATTATGGGTACCAATTTGGCCGAAAAAAATCAACAGCAAGGCATTGAGGAATATAAGGAAAGTCCGAACGGTGTTACTGGTGAGGATGTACTTCATACCGCTAAAGAGATGAACCGAATGTGGATTGGGGAGTACTCGTAGACTCGTAGTGCAGTGAAGAATACAGTTCTGTTGATGGATTTGAGAGATGGGGATGGCGTAGAATCGCCCGTGACCTTTTTTTTATTTATTTTTATTTATATTTTTTTAGTGAAAGCAGCGTCCATGACTTTGAAAGAAGAAGACATGGCAATAATTAAAAGCAATGAGAAGCTTCTTGCAATGTTTCTCGGAATTACTGTCATTTAATTAGAAGTAATATATACAGGGTAAGGATCAAGGGACACACATTTTTGATACACATTATCATACACATTTTAGGCTGTTAGATTAAAGCACATTCAATGGCTCAGATTGCATCCATTATAATAATTAATTGTGATTAATGTCTTTATTCTCATATGTGTCCCAAACGTGCTAATTTTTTATTATAAGAGATAGTAATTTGATTGATAACACAATAAAAAGTACAGAGTAGCCGCAAAGCCAAATATGAGTACAACATCTCCAGTGACCAAATACAAAAACAAATTTGTTTGATCTTGAGAGAATTACGCAAGTCCAAAAAACCTAAAACCTCCTATCCAGCAGGCAAATTTAAGACAAATTGGATTGCAACTAGTAAGCTGTAAGACTAAAGTGGAACTTTGCCCAAACAATAGGGGCCAAAAACATAATACGACCTAGCATGCAGGGATTGGGACTAAAAAAGAGTGAGATAAGACTACATTTGTGAATTTTTTATTGTCTAAATATTGTTATTATATTAGTATTCTATAGTTGCTTTTTACAAGTGGAAATTAGGTAATTTTACAATTTCAACTTAAAATGATAATTGTCGGTGGCAATATAATAATTGTCACGCAAGGAAATTAGAATATATATTTTTAAGTTCAAAAGTCTCTTTATATAATTCAAAAAATACAGATGGATCCAACTTTCAAAAGTCCTCTAATGAGTGACATATGGTATACTAAACAATGGGTACGAGAAATGTATTAAGTTGACTTCCATTGCATGATGAATCTGAGTCTTTTTAAATGGAGGGGAAACTCAAGTTTAGACTGTGGAGCAAAAGATGGTTTCAGAGATGAAGGTTGAAGTCATTCACAAGGAAACAATTGAACCATCCTCTCCAACTCCTCACCACCTTAAAAAAATCAAACTCTCTGTTTTTGATCAGTTTCAACCCGAAATTTATACCCCACTACTTCTCTTCTATCCCAGTACTAGTGATGAGGGCAATATTGATCACAAATCTTTGTTTGCTGAAAAATCCAAGCTTCTAAAGAGATCATTATCTGAAGCCCTCACTCATTTTTACCCCTTTGCAGGGGAATTCGTATATAATGCCTCGATCACCTGCAATGACCACGGGGCTGCATTTCTGGAAGCGCAAGTCAACTGTCCCATATCGAAGATTTTGGAGAAACCCGATTTTCAGGTCCTAAATCAATTTCTTCCAACCGCTATAGAATCCAAACAAGCCGAAGCAGGCTATATTCTACTAGTTCAGGCCAGCTTGTTTGAATGTGGTGGATTGGCAATTGGAGTCAGCATTCTACATAAGGTCGCCGATGCCTCTACCCTCAGCGCATTCATCAAAAGATGGGCTGCAATTGCACTTGGCTCGGCAAGTACTACTGATCATGTAGAATTTGGTGTTGCATCTTCTCTTTTCCCTCCCCTGGATTTCTTCAGCTCACCCCAGTTTTCAATGATACTTTCTAACAAAAACTGTATAACAAAGAGATTTGTATTTGATGCCTCAAAGATTGCTGCTCTCAAGTCCAAAGCTGCCACCACAGTGCCAAACCCCACACGGGTTGAAGTAGTGTCTGCGCTCATTTGGAAATGCATAATACAAGCATCCAGATCAAAGTTGGGTGTTATAAAGCCATCTATGTGGTGTCCGGTTGTGAATATGCGCAAGAGATCGCCACGGGGCTTGGCAGAAAACATATTGGGGAATTTTGTGTGGGTGTTTGCAGCAATGGCAATGGAAAGTGAGGTAAAATTTGAAAGCTTGGTTGTTAAACTCAGGAAAGGCATTGAGCAGTACAAGGAAAAGTATCCGAATGGTGTTACTGGTGAGGATATATTTCAAGCCATTAAAGGGTCTGGCAACCTCACGGAAAGGGATGATTTAGAAACCAATAGTTGCAGCAGCTGGTGTAGGCTTCCCTTGTACGAAACCGAATTTGGATGGGGAAAGCCATCGTGGGTGAGTACTCGTAGTACAGTCAAGAATACAATTATGTTGATGGATTTGAGCGATGGGGAAGGCATAGAAGCGTCGGTGACGTTGAAAGAAGAAGACATGACCATAATTGAAAGCAATGAGGAGCTGCTTGCATACGCTTCTCTAAATCCAACTGTCATTTAATTATTAGTAGCAAAAAATATGCCTGCAATTTAGTTTCCTTGGGAAGTTGTGTTGTAGCTTTTCATTTCTTCTAAGCAATCAATTAAAAAATAAACTTGAGCTTTCTCACTTAAACACTTGCAGTTCTATATATTACTCATAGTGCTTCAGATATAAAATTTGAGTATTGAAATGAATGTGAACAAGTAATTTGTAAAGAGGATTCGTGTTCTGCTCCCCTTTCCCCTTTAGAGCTTGGTGATATAGTTGCAAAGTGTTAATGCATAGAAGTTTGGTATTGCAGGATTTCCCATTTTGTACACAGAGCAAAACACTCTTTCTGATGACTAGGTGGGATAAGTCCATCTTTTGATCCGCGCTTACACAGTTTGAATCTCCCTCCTCCGTATATTGGCAGTCTACCAAATGAACCAAAAAAATAAAATAAAATAAAATAAAAAATCCTATTTCCACAAACGAGTTTGCCTCCTTCATAGTGTTTGCCGGTAGTCTCAATTTTGTTGAAAAAAATCATGGGTCCAAATTCATGGTCTCCCATTATTACAAGATTCTGCTTGAGTTTATATATAATGTTTGCAATGCATAGACAAAGTGTGGATGCATAAGTGCCACTCTAGCTAGTATATAGTATCGATTCATTGGATATAGAGAAGTAGATGAATTATGATGATTACACAAACTTTTGGACACCAATTCATGTGGCATTGTTTCATTTGTTTTCATTCTAGGCCCACTTTGGACTTTATTTGATGATTTGTGTTGATTAAAATAATTGATGTTAAAGTATCAACCCCAGCTCAGCCCATTTTGAGAAGCAATCTCTATAATGTTCTAGAAGCACCAGAAGTGTAAACAAGAAGGTGATAATACCACTAGAAATATCTAGAATAATATATATATATATATATATATATACATGTAGATCAATCTAGGAGAAAACAATAGCTGAAGTATAAAAGCCCAAGGCGGTGAATAGCTAAGCAAGTTGGCAGATTGAAGCTTGGAGAATAGTCTAGAAGGTAAAACAATTATGTAGCTAATATTATATAGCCAAGGCGGTGAGCTATGTCGGCTAGAACAACTATAAATAGGCATGAAGCCATGCATTTTAGTTGTAGAATCAAGAAGTGAAGAGAGTGAATAAGTAGAGTGAGAAATAAGCTATAGAGTTAAATATAGTCCTTGTGATCGTGTGAGTGAAGTGAGAAAGAGTGTTTGTAATAGTTGGTCTTTCCTTTGAGAGTTGTTTGTTGTAATATTTTGTGAGTCTAATACAAGTAAATTGTTTACTTGTTCTGTCTCCAACAAGTCTACATTAGAGTTGTGTACTCTAAAATTTCTCAACAATTGATAGCTTGTTTTTCTTGCTAGAAGAATTTAAAAAATAAAAATAGAAATGGGAAAATGATAGTTTATCTTTATCTGTTGTCTTCATGCATATGTCAAGGCCGGCCCTTGAAGGCCAAAACACTTAATGTGCCTTTAGATAATCCAAAAAAAACTTACAGATTGATCCTATGTTCAAATGAGACAGATACAAAACGATGAAGCTTACTTTTTGCAGATGAGCTGCCATTGGGGTGTTCTGCTGACTCTGCCTCTTTATATGGAGGGTCTTAAGTTCTTATGAAACTCAAGCCCGTAACAAGAGATGGCTTCAGAGATCAAGGTTGAAGTAATTGACAAGCACACAGTTAAGCCATCATCTCCAACTCCTCACCACCTTAGAAGTTTGGGCCTCTCTGGTTTTGATCAGTTTCAACCTGATATTCATATCCCACTAATTCTCTTCTATCTCAGCAGTAGTGATGAGATTGATAATTTTGATCATCATTCTTTGTTTGCTGAAAAATCCAAGCTTCTAAAGAAATCATTATCTGAAGCCCTCACTCGATTCTACCCCTTTGCAGGAAAATTCGAATATAATGTTTCCATCAGCTGCAATGATCATGGAGCTGCCTTTCTTGAAGCGCAAGTGAACTGTCCCATATCAAAGATTTTGGACAAACCTGAATTTTCGAACCTAAATCAATTGCTTCCAACTGCTATAGGAGCCAAACAAGCAGAAGTAGGCTATCTTCTACTAGTTCAGGCCAACTTCTTTGAATGTGGTGGATTGGCAATTGGGGTCAGCATTTCACATAAGGTCGCTGATGCCTCAACATTCAGCACATTCATCAAAAGCTGGGCTCAAATTGCCCTTGGCTCAACGAGCACTACCGATCATGTCGTGTTTCCTGCAGAATTTGGTGTTACAGCTTCTCTATTCCCACCCCAAGATTTCTTCAACTCACCCCAACCCACCGTGCATTTTCCTAAAGAGAAATGTATAACACGGAGGTTTGTGTTTGATGCCTCAAATATTGCTGCTCTCAAGGCCAAAGCGGCCAGTGCCACAGTGCCAAATCCTACACGAGTTGAAGCAGTGTCGGCACTCATTTGGAAATGCGCAATGGAAGCGTCAAGATCGAATTTGGGTTTTAAAAAGCCATCAGTGTGTTGTCAAGCAGTGGACATGAGGAAAAGATCATCAGGGCAGGCCTTTGCAGAAAATATATTGGGGAATTTTGTGTGGTGCTTCACGGCAATGGCCTTAGAGAGTGAATTTGACTTCGAAAGTTTGGTTGCTAAACTCAGAAAAAGCCTTGAGGAATATAGAGAAAAGTATCCCAACGGAGTTAGTGGTGATGTTGTATTGCAAACCATCGAAGAGTCTGGTAACCTGGCAAGGGATGATGTCGAAACCTATATGTGTACCAGTTGGTGCCGGTTTCCCTTCTACGAAACCAATTTTGGTTGGGGAAAGCCGTCATGGGTGAGCATCCGTAGCATCGAAATCAAGAACATGGTCACATTGATGGATATGAGTGACGGCATGGGCATAGAAGCGTCATTGACTTTGAAGAAAGACGACATGGCCATGATTGAAAGTAGTAAGGAGTTGCTTGCATATGCAACCCTGAACCCGACTGCGATTTAGTTAGTCTCTTCTTACTTGAATATCTCAACGGTCTATGTTTAATCGTATATGATTAATAACAAATCATTGTTAATCATACACGTGTATTAAACATGAAAAATACGTACGTATGTTTACAATATGAGTATTGTACATTTGCTTTTTAAAAAACATGTATTTTACCGAGTCTTTAAGACATGTATAGAAAACGGATGTACTATTGAAAAATACATATGTACGTGTATAATATGAGTATTAAACATCAAAAATGCTAAATTCTTTATACACATAATAACTCTGGGAAAGTAAAAAAAATCAAAAGGGGACAATAGAGACTCCGGTAATGACCTAATAGTGATGGATAATGATCTAAACTACTCTTATCGATAAAAGAAAATCAGGAAATAAAAATAAAAAATAAAAAAAAGGATCCTAGTATATATATATATAAAGAGTCGGCTATACAATTTATTTAAAAAAAAAACTCAATAACACCACGTCTATACTTTTTTAAATAAAATAAATAAATAAAAGAGATACTCGAGTATAGCCGACCGGCTATACTATTTGAAAAATAAATAAATAAAAAATACCCGAGTATCGCCCCCCGGCTATACTATTTTGAAAAATAAATAAATAAATAATACCCGAGCATAGCAGCGCGGCTATACGATTTATAACAATAATTAAAAGCCCCAGCCTAGCGCTAGGTGTCTACGGGTGAAAACCAGTATAGCCGCGGCTATACTATTTTCTTTTTAAGAATACCGTAGTACAGCCGGACGGCTATACTATTCGTAGGAAAAAAAAGAACCCGCCCTGCACCTAGGCGCCCATGTGTCAAAATAAGTATAGGCTTGCAGCGATACTATTTTAAAAATAAAAAAATTGCCGTAGTAACCAAACGGCTATACGATTTTTTCAAAAAGAATTTCCGTAGTAAGGCCGCGCGGCTATGCTCACCCCATTCGTGCTATGAAGTTCTTTGTTTCACCTGTTGTGCGTGCTTCTGTTCAATGCAAGGTCGTTTCTGACCTTCCCAAACTTTTTGAAGATCTCAAACGTCTGGCCAAGTCTGATCCTGTAGTTCTGTTCCATTGAGGAATGTGGAGAGCACATTATTGCTGGTGCTGGTGAACTCCATCTTGAGATTTGTTTGAAGGATCTACAGGATGATTTCATGGGTGGAGCTTAGATTATAAAATCTGACCCCGTTGTTCTTTCCGTGAGATTGTCCTGGAAAAGTCTAGTCGTATTGTGATGAGCAAGTCACCCAACAAGCATAACAGTCTGTACATGGAAGCTCGACCCTTGGAGGAAGGTCTTCCTGAGGCCATTGATGATGGTCGTATTGGCCCAAAGATGATCCCAAAATTCGTTCCAAAATCTTGGCATAGGAGTTCGGTTGGGACAAGGATCTTGCTAAGAAAATCTGGTGTTTTGGCCCTGAGACCACCGGTCCTAACATGGTGGTGGATATGTGTGAGGGAGTTCAGTACCTTAATGAAATTAAGGACTCTGTTGTTGCTGGTTTCCAGTGGGCTTCAAAGGAAGGTGCATCGGCGGAAGAAAACATGAGGGGTATTTGCTTTGAAGTCTGTGATGTGGTTCTTCATGCTGATGCAATCCACAGAGGAGGTGGTCAGGTCATTCCCACTGCTAGGAGGGTCATCTATGCTTCCCAGCTCACTGCCAAGCCAAGGCTCCTTGAACCAGTATATCTCGTCGAAATCCAAGCTCCGGAGCAGGCTCTTGGTGGCATCTACTGTTGTTAACCAGAAACGTGGGCATGTGAGGAAATGCAGAGGCCTTGTACCCCATTCTACAACATCAAGGCCTACCTCCCTGTCATTGAGTCTTTCGGATTCTCCGGTCAGTTGAGGGCTGCGACTTCAGGCCAGGCTTTCCCACAATGTGTGTTTGATCATTGGGAGATGATGTCGTCTGACCAGGCTGCACAGCTTGTTACAGATATCCGCAAGAGGAAGGGCTTGAAGGAGCAAATGACCCCGCTATCCGAGTTTGAGGAGATTGCGCTACAATATTTTCGGTCTTTAGCTATTTTTCGGTTCCTTTTCGTGAACTTTTTATTCTATTTTAATTTGTTTGGTTTTCGGTTATGACATATATCGTACTCTCTTGGGGAATCTTACTTTGAAAATAGTTGGTGCTTATTTGCTTCTTTGCAAATCTCAACAAATTTTACTTTGACCCACATTCCTTTCCCCCCTTAACCAGCTTTTTACCTCTCATTGTATAGATTACAATTATCCTCTTATAGATTTCTTTAGTCCGTTTTATGAAGGAGCACAATGCTAATATAAACTTAAGTTGGGTTTATAATTCGGTCTAGTCTACTATACTATGCTAGACTAACAATTAACTATCGCGTATAATTTAGAGTATCGCTTGTATTAAAAGAAAATACTAGAGTCATCAATTTAACTAACTATTGACCTAGTTGTACTTCTATTTCTCTTCCAAGTTTCCCAAGAGAGAGCAAGCAAATTGGACTGCCTCCCTCCTCCCATTATATTTTTTAAAAAAAAAAAAAAAAAAAAAAAAAAAAAAAAAAGGAGGCCAGTCTCCATGGGCTCTCTGTCAGGCCCGCCAAATAGCGGGCTACAGGCCTTAATATTATTCAACACAGTTTGCAAGTTCCAAGGTACAAAACCATTCAAATTCCCAAACCAAAACTCCAAGTTACCGCACTTCCAAACTGTAGAGATGGACCGCAAAGATAATCAATCTCCCCAAGGTTTCAATGACCTCCTTACTTCCGGTATGTTTTCATCTTCATTTTTGGGCTATTAGATGAGTATAATTAAAATTGAAAATGGTGCAGGTGAAACAGCTCGGATTCTGGTTGAATTCCTGGAGGTGGCAATCACTTCAATCGTTCTCCTCAAAGGAATTTACCCTCCAGGTTTGTTCTAAACCCACTTCTCGTTTTGGTTGCTGAGAAAAAAAGTTGTGGTTTTGAGTTCTGTTTTTCTTCATTATCTGGGGAACCCAGAAAGCAAAACCCAGTTCTCAACTGCTTTCACTGATGGTTGGTTTTGGGCAGAGGTGCTTTTGAAAGAAGGAAATATATGAATTTGGTGGTTCATAGCGCTCGTCACCCTCAACTCAGAGATTATATCCATTCTGCTGTCTCGGGACTTCATCCTTTCATCCAAAAGGTTGATCCTTTACTCATTTATTTCCTTTTACTTTTTTCTTTCTTGTTTCTTCAAAAATTTCTCATATATCTCATGTGTTCGAAAATTCGGCCTAGGCGGGTCTGGGCGGCTGGGCGGGTTGGATTATTATTATTTTTTTTTCTTTTTTCTTTTTTTAAGAAAGATGCAGTCTTTCTTATTCGTTTAATGTATTTATTCCGGTGATGTTCCATTTTCACTAAAACAGACGTACATTTTACAAACTAGGGTCTGGTGGAGAGAGTAGCAGTTATTTTCTTTAACAGTGATAGCATCCCTGTGGAAAGATTTATATTTAAGCTCACTGTGAATCAGTCTTATGGCTCAAGGGTGGAAGAAGCTGACCTGGAGTTCTCACTAAGGTCCTTTTTTATCAAGCTTCCCTTCTCAGAATCCCTTACACGGGTTCTTCCCCAGGGTAAGTTTTATGTTCATTTTGTTCCTTCAGTGTTGTAGTTTTTTCTTAGAATACTATTTGATATAATTTCTTTTTCAATGCTGTAGTTCCGTTTGGTTTTTGCTTTAAAATTGCTACTTTCTATCAAATGCTTTGGTTTAATTGGTGGAGTATTGACCATATGCTTGGGTGGTTGTTGAGCTCATGAACATGGTTTGGATTTTCATGTCCGCTTTCCTTTCGATATTGCTGCTAGGTGTGTAAGCTTTTCCTTTATAACTGATTGCAGGTGGGAGATAACCGCGTACTTTCGATCCCTACGTCAGGCAAGTACAAGTAAGGATGCAGAGTTATGGATTCCAACAGACACACAGCAATGGCAACAGCCTCCATTAATAACTCCTATTAAATCGATGAGTGGCGAACTTCTATCTGTGCAGTTATATTTGGAACATCCAGGTTTATCTGAACCAAAGGCTTAAAGGGAATTAAGCAAATGAATATCTGCCTTGATTTTACATGACAAATCATGACCACACTGTCCCATAAACATACTGCTCATGAAGTAAATTCCTCGCTTTCTGCATTTTGGTGTATAAACCACAATAATTCAGTGCTTAGTATTGTAAAGTTGTTATCCAATTAGAATGAGATTACAGGGTACAAAGGTAGAAATTTTGTTCAAGATGAAGGGTAAAGCATAAGCATGACACTTTAGAAAGCTGGGGGTGATTAACATATGACATCAATTTACAGTATATTATGAGATAACAAAATTACTTTTCTGATAGCTAAATCTCTTTTCCTTTTACTCGAAGGGATTGTTGTTTGTACTCTCCCAAGTCCAGGGAAACATCAAGTCAAAAGGGTTTTTACCACATTTGAGCTACTCAGCATTAGTTTATCAACATTTTAACAATTATCATGCTTTGTGAAAGAAATGAATGTTCCTTTATGTTGGAATATGAGTTCAAAATGAATTTGCACAGCTTGTGTGGGTTTAAGTCGTTCTAGTTGTTGAAATGTCTTCCCCATTTGGACAACAACTAAAGCACTATCACATTAGTTGGTGCAATGAGTGGATACCTCCAATATTACTCGAAGAAAAAAGTGTAAAGAAGGGGAAATCTAATTTGCCCTTGAATAGAAAAGAACAAACGCCTTTAGTGTTGATTATTGAGCTCTAAATAATATGGTTATGTGCCATACGCATGTCTTCCTCTCAAAATGTTCATGCTTTTCTTACAATTGTATTACTTCATTTGGTTTACCTTTTTCAAATGGTCCTCAAACTTATACCCGAGTTGCATTTTGGTCTCTTAACTAAATTATTCATTCAAATGGTCCGCCAACTTTTATTAATTGTCGCATTGGCCCTACCATTACATAGGGGTAAAACAGTCCAATTAAATAAAATACTAAATAAATTAAAAAGTAAAAATCAAAAGTAAAAAAAAAACCTCTCTTCCACCTCCTCCTTATATTTGATACAGTAATAGTTATCAAAGTAGAGGGTATTCATAGATATTTACTTGAATTTCTTGCTTGAATGTTCAATTGAACCCTCGGTTCATTATCTTTATGGTTTTAATTTTCAGGTGGTTCAGCTCCTTATAATTACAAATTGGTGGTTTCTCTTAAATACTAGTCAAGATGGTAAGTGTAATCTATCAAATCTAAGCTTACTGGTTGTTCGGCTGCTCTGCTAATTTCGTAATTCTTAATGGAGAGATATTATTGACATGTGCAGGTGAAGTTTACAGCAGAGGAACTCCGTAGGATTATGGACTACAAGCATAACATTCGCAATATGTCCGTTATTGCACATGTTGATCATGGTATCGATAACTTTTTTCACTTGATAATTCTTATATTTGTAACATTATTTTCACTCACCTGCTCATAATGGAGTGCTTAATAGTGTTCTGTTTGAGTTAATTTGAGCTGCTTTTTTTGTATCTGGTTGATTATGCCCTGCTCAAATGTATAATTGTCCTTTTGCTTTCAAATTTGCATTACATTCTTGTTCATGTTTCAATGTCCTGCGTGTTTGTTCATAGCTATAATCGTACTGAATTTTAATATGCAGGGAAGTCAACCCTTACCGACTCTCTTGTTGCTGCTGCTGGTATCATTGCACAAGAAGTTGCTGGTGATGTCCGGATGACAGATACCCGTGCAGATGAGGCAGAGCGTGGTGTCACAATCAAATCTACTGGTATCTCTCTCTACTATGAGATGACTGATGAAGCTTTGAAGAGCTACAAGGGGGAGAGAAACGGAAATGAGTACCTTATCAATCTCATTGATTCCCCTGGACACGTTGACTTTTCATCTGAAGTCACAGCTGCTCTTCGTATTACTGATGGTGCACTTGTGGTGGTTGATTGCATTGAGGGTGTTTGTGTCTCCAAACAGAGACTCTGCTTCGTCAAGCCTTTGGAGAAAGGATCAGGCCTGTTTTGACTGTTAACAAGATGGACAGGTGCTTCCTTGAGCTCCAGGTCGAATGAGAGGAGGCTTACCGAGCATTCCAAAGGGTTATTGAGAATGCTAATGTCATTATGGCTACATACGAAGACCCCCTTCTTGGTGATGTCCAGGTAGAGAAAGGAACAGTCGCCTTTTCAGCTGGTTTGCACAGATGGGCTTTTACTCTGACCAACTTTGCCAAGATGTATGCATCCAAGTTTGGAGTTGATGAATCAAAGATGATGGAAAGGCTCTGGGGTGAGAACTACTTTGACCCACCTACCAAGAAATGGACCAGCAAGAACACTGGTTCTGCTACCTGCAAGCATGGTTTCGTTCAGTTCTGTTATGAACCCATCAAGCAGATTATCAACACCTGCATGAATTATCAGAAGGACAAGTTGTGGCCCATGTTGACAAAGCTTGGTGTCACGATGAAGAGTGTTGAAAGGAGCTGATGGGGAAGGCGTTGATGAAGTGTGTCATGCAGACCTGGCTACCAGCCAGCAGTGCCCTATTTATAAAAACGAATTTAAAAAAGGACCCCAGTAAAGCCGAGAGGTTATACTGGTTTTTATTTAAAAAAAATCCGAAGTACAGCCGACCGGCTATATTCTGTAATTAGATTTTTTTTAATGTATAGCCGTGCGGCTATACCCCTTAATATTATTCAACACAGTTTGCAAAGATAATCACTCTCCTCAAGGTTTCAAAACCTCAACTTACTGGTATGTTTTCGTCTGACAGCTCGAATTCTGGTTGAATTCCTGGAGGTGGCAATCACTTCAATCGTTTTCCTCAAAGGAATTTACCCTCCAGGTTTGTTCGAAACCCATTTCTCGTTTTGATTGTTGAGAAAAAAAGTTGTGGTTTTGAGTTCTGTTTTTCTTCATTATCTGGGGAACCCAGAAAGCAAAACCCATTAATGGGTAATTGTTGTTTTTGCATTTTCAACTGCTTTCACTGATGGTTGGTTTTGGGCAAAGGTGCTTTAGAAAGAAGGAAATATATGAATTTGGTGGTTCATAGCGCTCGTCACCCTGAACTCAGGGATTATATCCATTCTGCTGTCTCGGGACTTCATCCTTTCATCCAAAAGGTTGATCCTTTACTCATTTATTTCCTTTTGCTTTTTCCTTTCTTGTTTCTTCAAAAATTTCTCATATATCTCATGTGTTCGAAAATTCGGCCTAGGCGGCCGCCTAGGCGCTAGGCGGGTCTGGGCGGCTGGGCGGGTTGGAATTTTTTTTTCTTTTTTCTTTTTGATTTTTTTAAGAAAGATGCAGTCTTTCTTATTCGTTTAATGTATTTATTCCGGTGATGTACCATTTTCACTAAAACAGACGTACCTTTTACAAACTAGGGTCTGGTGGAGAGAGTAGCAGTTATTTTCTTTAACAGTGATAGCATCCCCGTGGAAAGATTTATGTTTAAGCTCACTGTGAATCTGTCTTATGGCTCAAGGGTGGAAGAAGCTGACCTGGAGTTCTCACTAAGGTCCTTTTTTATCAAGCTTCCTTTCTCAGAATCCCTTACACGGGTTCTTCCCCAGGGTAAGTTTTATGTTTTTTTTTCCTTGAGCGTTGTAGTTTTGTCTTAGAATACTATTTGATATAATTCTTTTTCAATGCTGTAGTTCCGTTTGGTTTTCGCTTTAAAATTGCTACTGTCTATCAAATGCTTTGGTTTATTTGGTTGAGTATTGACCATATGCTTGGGTGGTTGTTGAGCGCATGAACATGGTTTGGATTTTTTTCATGTCTGCTTTCCTTTAGAAATTGCTGCTAGGTGTGTAAGCTTTTCCATTATAACAGATTGCAGGTGGGAGATAACCGCGTACTTTCGATCCCTGCCTCAGGCATGTACAAGTAAGGATGCAGAGTTATGGATTCCAACAGACACACAGCAATGGCAACAGCCTCCATTAATAACTCCTATTAAATCGATGAGGAGCGAACCTCTATCTGTGCAGTTATATTTGGAACATCCAGGTTTATCTGAACCAAAGGCTTAAAGGGAATTAAGCAAATGAATATCTGCCTTGATTTTACATGACAAATCATGATCACACTGTCCCACAAACATACTGCTCTTGAAGTAAATTCCGCTCGCTTTCTGCATTTTGGGCTATACTCTCGGGAAACATCAATTCAAAAGGTTTATCAGCATTTTAACAATTATCATGCTTCTAATATTACTCAGCCAAACGCCTTTAGTTTTGATTATTGAGCTCTAAATAGCCTATACTATTCTTTCTTTTTCTTTTTTTCTTTTTATTTTTTAAAAAACACGCATGTGTCAAAAACGGTATAGCCACACGGCTATACTATTTATAAATAAATAAATAAACACGGTCGTATAGCCACACAGCTATACCTTTTGTTTTTATTTTTTATTTTTTATTATAAAAAAGGTACCCTTCTAGTTGCATTAGTTTATACTTTATTGATATTAATTGGCTTATTTCAACATATCCAAAGTGGATATTGAAGATAAAGAAATTTCACAGTAAATCAATGTGAGAGTTCAATTTTTTCTTCTTTATTTTTTGTTTTTTTTTGTTTTTTTGTTTTGGTGAGAATGTTTGCCTTTTTTCTAATTCGTTCTCTCGAGTGAAACTTGTTGGAGGAACAACAATCAATATTATTCTAAAAATTTAATTAAACAACAAATAGAATAATGAAATTACATATTGCAGTAAATTAAAAATTGACTGTTCTTGCAAATAGAGGCTTGCAGAATTGCAATGTCCTTGAAACTAAAGTTCACCCCTACTCAGTGCTTGTAGTTCTGTAGGTGTTTGCTCCACCAGGATACAACTATCTAAATCAAAGTCCTGGAAGTAGGGCTTTGATTTCTGGCAAAATTTATATGTTTATCTCTGAGGCTATATATGAATGATGATATGAATGTTCTCTGCGAATTTGATGTAATTGTATAGACCCAAGGCTTGTGTTTAAATAGAGTGCATGCATGTATCAGATAAGGGCAAAGCCAATCAGACAAAAAACATTATATGATATTTGAATTTTAAAAATAATTCAAATAAATAAATAATTAATTAACTAATCGGGTTTAATTTAAATTATAGAGCCGAAGAGCCCCAAGGTCCAAGGCCCCTTTTTTTTATTCATAAAATATAAAAAAGGGACCCATGTGTCAAAAAACGTATAGCCGTGAGGCTATACTATTTTGAAATAAATATAACATAAAAAAACCCGTGTATAGCCGTGCAGTTATACTATTTTGAAAAAAATAATAAATAAAAATACCTAAGTAGCAGCGCGGCTATACGATTTTGAAAAAAAAAATAATAATACTCAAGTATAGCCGCGCAGCAATACTATTTATAAATTATAAAAAAAGGCCCCGCCTAGCTCCTAGGCGCCCACATGTGAAAGCAAGTATAGTAGCCGAATCTTTTAAGTCCAACATAGAGACAAAATCCATGTTACAATTGTCTTCCGAATCCACAGTTCCACCTAAGTACATCTTGACCTTTTGATAATTAAGGGCATGTTTGGTATTCAACTTAAATCCAACTTTTTAAACTCAAAAACAAAATTTGAGTCCAAAACAAAGAAAACCTGTTTGGTAGCCCTATGTTTAAAAACTCAAACTCAAGAACAACTAAAAAAACACCCCAATTATTAAAAACAAAATTTTTTTTTATTTTAGTTTTTTCCTAACAACACACAAGCTCAAATTTTTAAGATTTGAAAACAATTTTCAAGTTGAATACCAAACAAGTTTTTGAATCTTTAAAATAGATTTAAGAACTCCTTGTTTTTAAGAAAAATCAAAGTTTTGGAGTTCCCTATTTGAATAGGATATCAAATGCCCCCTAAATGATTTAAGAACTCCTTGTTTTTAAGAAAAATCAAAGTTTTTGAGTTCCCTAATTGAATAGGATATCAAACGCCCCCTAAATTTTTTTGTGTAACTTTTATAATTCTATTGAGGCTTTTGCTATTTTCTCAGCCTGCTTGTTTTGTTTTTTTTTGTCTTCGTTTCTATTCTTTTTGCTTGTTTCCCTTGGTCCACATACCTAACTCCTATTTCCTTGTTTTGCCATCTATTTTGCAAGTTTTTAACTTGCAGATGCCTAGGTAAGTGCTTCAGGATTCGTTTTCTAGTGTTCTCTTTGGTTTGTCCTTCTGTCCCTTTTTGTTTGTTTACTTTAACCTTTTACCTCTTCTTGTTTAAATATCTAGTTGGTTTTCACTAGGTTTTCTTTTCATCGTTCTTTTTAGTTTCTTCAACCACTTTTTCTTTTTCTAATTTAGTTGCAGTTTTTTTCTTCCTGTTTTTTCTGATTTTCTTTTTCTCTTGTAGGTTGCTGATTTCGGTAATTGGCAATGCTATTTAGGTGAGCCGATTGAAGAGGTGTCCAAGATTCCTCTGTTTTTTTTTTCTTCTTTTGTTTCCATGTGTTTGGTTCAGACCTCAAATCTTTTTTAAAGATTACGCTATTGCCTCCGCCTCTCACATTTGGGTTTCTGATGGTTTTGTTATCTTTTATCTTTTAGGTTGCTTCTATAAATAGAATCATCTGCTCCAACAAAAAAACAAAAGAAACAAATTCTCTATTTTTTGTGGGTTTTATGAGATTGTGTGGTGTGTATAAGAAAGAAATCAATCGAAGCCCTAGAACGATACTATGTGACCACTGACTACATAAAATGTCTTTTTTTTTAGGGGTAGTTACATTTTTGGTAACTGGAGTTAGGCTAGAATTTAAATTTAACCACCTAAATGTTAATTTTCTCAATTTCCTCGTCACAATTCGCGTCATCAACAAATCAAGTCCAATCGATTCCTAATTAATCCCCACTGCCAATGCATACAAAGATTAACGGACCACCCACAGATTCCCAACCCGACACCCATGCCCAAACCATACCAACGCAGGAAGAAATTCTCCGCATAAGCCATAACATAGACCTCCCATTCTTCCCCAAAGGTGGCGAAGGCGCGGGAGAACAATGTTGTGACGTCTTCAATATGCACTATGCAAACCCCAATGTAGATGGGGTCCACTCGCCCGAGATTGATGAGATCGAGCGAATGTGTGGAACAGCCTGCAACAATGGAAGCTATGCCTTCCTGAACAAAACCTTTAAGACCCATTTCTAAGTTAATTAAAGGTCGATTCTTTTTCTCTGAGTTGTTAGTACATTGAAAGAACGGGGTTAAATTGAGGGGAAAATTTTGATGAGAGAAATGGACTCTCCAGTGTCTCTGAGATGGAAATACATTTTTCGATCTAGTGTGGTACAAGATTCGTCAATGTCAGAGACAAACTGCCCTTCGTGCGAATCAATTCTTTCACCGTTCCCAAAACCAAGCAATTTTTTTATTACAAATTTATAAATAAACCCAATCCTAGACATGTATTTATAAAAAAACTCAAGCACTATTTAAACATAGAAACACACCCAAAATCAACCCCAAAGTCAATTTTTGGGTGTGTTTATAAATGGGTTTTGAGTGTGTGTAATGATGGGTTTTGGGTGTGTTTATATGTTTAAATAGTGCTTGAATTTTTTTATAATTTCAATCCCCATATTGGGTGTTTTAGTGAAACTCCCTTTTTTATCTGGCGCTGCCTGGGTTATTGATAATCTATGCTCATGCTAGACTGAGGATGATCTCTTTGTAGTTTCTTGTTGTTTGGGCTTTGGCTCCTTTCCTCACCCAAAAAGAAATAAATAAATAAATAAATTCAAGCAATTCGAATCGAGAATCCCTAAATCATAATTACTCCCAATTTTCAATCTAAACACACTTTTGAGATACATCGAATGAATCTTGGGACTCAAAAGAAAATGGGCGATGAAATGTCTAATTTGCCCTTGAAATTTGTTCACATGCTTGTCACGTGCTGCTAGTTGACGGCATATTGGATGGAATTCTTTTGTATTTAACGGAAGGGGATAAATTGACTATTTTTAAACATTTCATATCCTTAATTTTCTGAACAAATAGTTTGGGGGCTTAATTCTCAGACACATAGAGTTCAGTGGGGAAAATGACAAATTTTGTTTTTGTTTAATGTCTGGATTTTTTATATTGTTAGTATTGGGATTTATACTATTTGTTTGGAACTCGGATGTGAGTTCTTATGTGAGGTGTGAAACAAATAACTACATGAATACAACTGATATACTAAATTTATCCGGACCAGTGCAATATTACCTTAAAAAAATGTTGTCACATGTGGTGGGTTTTTTTGGGCTAAACCCTTGCATGTGATGTTTGCGTATTTTCATGTAAAGTTTACAATTTTAATTTTCATCGTAAATCTTTGACCAATAAACAAAATTTCATTGTAAATCAAACCAAATTAGACGGACTAAAATTACAAAAATTAAAATGATATGGACTAAAAGGAAAAAAGGGGCCAAACCATAACAATAAAAAGTGTACTTTAGCTGATCAATAATGCCAACAACTGCTATAGAATCCTAGATTCTCCTTTTGTGCATATCAAGATTCTCATCCTATCCAACAAAATAAAAAATAAAAAAAATCAAGATTCTCAACTACTCACACTAGTATAAGGAATTTGTTTAACGCAAATGACCTGCTAATGTAGTGGTTTGGAGCAAATGCTTTCTCAGGAAAGGTTTTGGGTTTAAGTTCTAACATCTATGTAGTGTGTGTAAGTTTAGTATGCTATCGTCCTCTCAATAACAACGGTATAGATTCCGTTTGGAATCTTACCACATGTTTTAGCAAATTAACAAATTATTACATGCCGGCAACTCACCCAACAGGAACTAAAGAGATTTAAATACTGAAATCACGTCGATGAATGCAATGAAAAAAATAATGTATAGTGGTACATGCAATCGGCTCAACCAATATACAATTCACTTTTTGTTCTTGGGACAATATAAATATACATTTATAAGATAAGCACACAATACATAAAAACTGATCTAATAAACAATTGGATAACAGACTAGCAGTATTGTTCATTAGATTTAAGTCTTCTGTGTTACCAAGTCAATGTCAATGGATTCCACAACCCTATCCTTCTCTTTTTGTATTCTTTATATAGAGAGGGTCTTTGTTACGAAACTCAGGCTTGAAGCAAAAGATGGCTTCAGAGATCAAGGTTGAAGTCATTCACAAGGAAATAATTAAACCATCCTCTCCAACTCCTCACCACCTTAAAAACACCAGCCTCTCTGTTTTTGATCAGATCACATCTGAAGTTTATGTCCCAGTACTTCTCTTCTATCCCATCATCAGTAGTGATGAGGTCAATAATATTGATCACCATTCTTTGTTTGCTGAAAAACTCAACCTTCTAAAAATATCATTATCTGAAATCCTAACTCACTTCTACCCCTGGGCCGGAGAATTCGTATATAATTCTTCCATCAGCTGCAATGACCGGGGAGCTGCATTTGTTGAAGCCAGAGTCAATTGTACCATATCACAGATTTTGGGCCAACCAGATCTTGGGATACAGAAACAATTGGTTCCAAATGATATAGAATGCAGGACAAAATCAGGCAAAGGCTATCTTCTACTAGTTCAAGCCAACTTCTTTGAATGTGGTGGAGTGGCAATTGGAGTCAGCATTTCACATAAGATCGGTGATGCTTATACACTAAGCAAATTCATTAATAGTTGGGCTGCAATTGCCCTTGACTCCACTGCTACTACTGATGTACTGCCTCCTGCACAATTTGGTGCTGCAGCATCTCTTTTACCACCTCTGGATTTCCTCAATTCACCTCAACCTCCTGTGGAATTTGTCCACGAAAATTGTGTAACAAGGACATTAGTGTTTGATGCCTCAAATATTGCTGCTCTCAAGTCCAAAGCTGCCAGTGCCACAGTGCCAAACCCAACGCGCGTTGAAGTAGTGTCAGCGCTCATTTGGAAATGCGTAATGGAAGCATCACGATCAAACTTGGGTTTTGTAAGGCCATCCTCGTGGTGTCAATTTGTGAACATGAGGAAAGTTTTGGTTCAGCACTCAGCAGACGACTTATTGGGAAATTTCTTCGGGCACTTTGTAGCAAAGACAGAGGAAAGTGAAGTAGATCATGATGTTCAAAGCTTGGTTGCTAAAATGAGGAAGAGCTTTGAGGAATTGAAGGTAAATTTTGCTAATGGAATTAGTGGGGAGGATGTGTTGCAGCTCTGCAAAGAGTTAGGGGAGCTCATTGGAAAGGTGGATGTAAACAACTATTGTTCCACCAGTTTGTGCAGGTTTCCCTTCTACAAAGCCAATTTCGGATGGGGAAAGCCATCATGGATGAGTATGCCAGCTGGTGCTGTAGAAATCAAGAACATAATCTCATTGATGGATGTAAGAGATGGGAATGGTATACAAGCACGCTTGAGTTTGAAAGCGGAAGACATGGCCATAGTTGAAAGTAACCGGGAGCTGCTTACGTATGCTTCTTTGAACTATGAGGTTCGTCACAAACTCATACCTAAGCTTTGAAGACCCAACAATCTGGTACCCAAACTTATGGAAATCCTACAAATAAGACCCCCCATTAACCAGACCATTAGCTGGTCTGTTAAATTCTGATGTGGCAAACGTGCGTCCCCTTTTTTTATCCACAATTTATGAATTTTCTTTTTAATTTTTCACTTTTCATAGTCTGATTCTCAGATCTATCTATGGTTTCCCCTATGTGTATTTTTAATGTTTATTAATAAAATTTGAATTTGCTTTGTATCGTTGAGTTTAATAGGTAAGTTTCGCCCAGTTGGCTTTCAAATCCTGGATAATGTTTCTTTCTTTTTTTTTCTTTTTACTATGGAGGAAGGAAGATTCGAACTTCAAACCTCTTCCAACATAAAGAAATTTCACTAGACCAAGAGCTAGTCGGCATTGTCATCGTGTAAACAACTCTTGTGCTTCTAGAATTAAAATGGATGCGATGTTTTTACCTTTGATGATCTCACTCTTTACTTTTAATTATTGGTCTCAAAATTAGTTGTATAATATTATTTTTGGACAATATGGGGTCAAGTTAACTGTCCACTTGATGATGACTTGCATCAATTGGACAAAATCGAACCTAACCATAGTAGACTTTGGCACTTTGCATAGAATTTATAGTGTGTGGAAGAATAAAGGATTACTTTTTCTCTTTCTTATTAATAATGTCATCAGTGCTCTTAATGTAAACACAAGAGCCTTTCACTATCTAAGAGGCCCACCAAAATAGATTAAGAACTTCTTACAATCAGAAGGCCATTAGTAATTAAATTGTTATGGTGTATGTACTATTTGGATAATATAATAAGCTGAATAAACAAAGAAGTTGAATTTCGTCCTGGAGGAGCTGCAGTTGTGATGTCTTTATATGGACGGTCTGTGTTGTGAAATTTTCAAGTGTGGAGAAAAATATGACTTCAGAGATCAAGGTTGAAGTCACTCAGGAGGAAATAATCAGACCATCCTCTCCAACTCCTCACCACCTCAGAAGTTCTAACCTTTCTGTTTTTGATCAGCTTACTCCTCAAGTTTATGTCTCCGTACTTCTCTTCTACCCCAGCAATAACCATTCTTTGCCTGCTGAAAGGTCCAAGATTCTGAAAAGGTCATTATCCGAAGTCCTCACTCACTTCTATCCCTTTGCAGGAACAATCCAATCTAAGGATGTTTCAATCTGTTGCAATGACCATGGGGCTAAATTTTTTGAAGCCAGAGTCAACTGTCCCATGTCACAGGTTTTCGATAAACCAGATCTTGGGATGCTAAAACAATTGCATCCAAATGCAATAGAATCCGTGGCAGGCACAGGCCATCTTCTTCTAGTCCAAGCTAACTTCTTTGAATGTGGAGGGATGGCAGTTGTAGTCAACATTTCACATAAGCTCATTGATGCTTATACACTCTGCAAATTCATTAATAGATGGTCAGCAATTTCCCTCTCCTTGGCCAGTACCGATCATGTAGTGCCTCTTGTAGAATTTGGTGCTGCAGCAGCTCTTTTCCCACCTCTTGATTTCCTCAGTTCAACCCGAGCTTCCGTTGGCTTTGTCAAGTACAATTGCATAACAAAAAGATTTGTGTTTGATGCCTCCAAGATTGCTACTCTCAAGCTTAAAGCTGCCAGTGCCACGGTGCCAAATCCAACACGTATTGAAGTAGTGTCAGCGCTCATCTGGAAATGTGCCATGGAAGCGTCAAGATCAAACTCGGGTGTCATAAGGCCATCCGTATGGTGTCAATTTGTGAACATGAGGAAGATATTGCCGCAGTCGCCAGCAGAAAACTTATTGGGAAATCTTGTGGGGTACTCTGTAGCAAAGACAGAGGAAAGCAAAGTAGAACATGATCTTGGAAGCTTGGTTTTTAAATTGAGGAGGGGCTTTGAAGAACTTAAGGTAAAATATGGTAACGGAATGAGTAGTGAGGATGTGTTCCAACAGTTCAATGAGTTAGGGAAGCTCATTGGAAAGGTTGATATAGACAACTATTGTTTAACCAGTTGGTGCAGGTTTCCCTTTTATGAAGCTGATTTCGGATGGGGAAAGCCATCATGGTTGAGTAATATTCCTAGCACGGCCGAACTCAAGAACATGATTTCATTGGTGGATGTAAGTGATGGCATTGGCATAGAAGCTCGCTTGACTTTGAAAGAAGAAGACATGGCCGTGATTGAAAGCAACGAGGAGCTGCTTGAATATGCTTCTATGAATCCGTGTGTCGTGTAATTAATTAGTACAGAAAGATCTACGTCTTCTATCCCAGCATGGAACCTCTTCCAATAAAAATTAGGTAAGCCTAGAATTATTGTTGATTAAATATGTGTCTTTATATATGGAGGATCTTTCAGTTATTGTTTCCTTGCTATGTTGGAGTTGCAAGGAAACAATTAAACCATCCTCTCCAACTCCTCACCACCTTCGAATTTCCAACCTCTCTGTTTTTGATCAAGTCACATCTGAAGTTTATGTCCAACTACTTCTCTTCTATCCCAGCATGGAACCTCTTCCAATAAAAGAGAAATCTCACTAGACGAAGAGCTAGTCGGCCATGTGTAACTAATTAGTACCAAAATTAATATGAATTTTATGTTGCTACCTTTGATGATCTCACTCATTTCTTTGATTATTGGTCTTAAAATTAGTTGTAGAATATTATTCTTGGACGATATGGGGTCAAGTAAACCTTCCACTTGATGATGACTTGTATCCGACAGGATAAAATCCAACCAAACCATCGTAGACTTTGGAACTTTGCATAGAATTTAAAGAGAGTGGAAGAATAAAGGACAAATTTTCTCATTATTATTAATAATTTAATCAGTGCTCTTAATATTAATACGACAGCCCTTCACTATCTAAGAGCTGCCAGCTGAAGCTAAACTGTTGTGAGAAATCTAGCAATAATAACTATGATCATGACCAACTAACAGTTAGCCTAAGTCTTGTGATAGCCGTTGATTAGGAAGATTATAATTGTGATGATCAGAACATAACCTGCTTTCAGAATTTTTGTTTATGCAAATATGAACAATTCATAAATGTTTACATGATCTGCAAGTGGCGGATCCAGGATTCAAAAGTCAAGTAGGCGAAACTTACCTTAAAAACTCGACGGTATGAGTGAATTTTATTCATAAAAATAAAAAGATACACCTAGTCAGGGGGGACGTAATTCCTCAATTATCTCTTTATTATCGATATTATTAGCAGACTATCTTTCAATGCGGAGAATCATGCAACCAACAAGGAATTCATCAGTTATGGTGCACCGAAGTCTATTCTTAATCATTTTCATACATGAAAAAGCTCATTCTATTGTTGCTGTAGAAATAAGAAGAGTCAACACCAAATGAATCAACCTGAAAAGCAAATGGTAGTTTTCTACCAAAGTTGTTTCCACCAATTGTTAACATAACTGAGGAAGAGTGGTGAGGTCCTTAAAGTAGGGAAGGCAATGCATATCATTTTGAAAATACATGACAAGACCCGCCCCGAATTTCCTCGAAACCCGGAACGAATCCTATGGAATTCCCGACATCATACCTGTGTCGGGCCCACTTACTAAAACTGTAACCTCCTTTTCCAAAGAGGGATAAGAGCACGAGACTTTCTGCTGAAAATTTGGCAAAGTCTCCCCTGTAAATGGAACATTTCCCAAAATTTCAACTTGCATAAAACACAATTTAATATCCCAACAGGTAGCACACACAATGTAATAACATGCAATTCACATAAATGGCCTCCGGCCTTCTGATAATTCAAAGCAATACCAAATGACTTCAGACACTTTATGAACACCCAATATTTCAATATACAACAACTCCTCAAGAGAGGTTTTAACCTCTTAACACAATCGCAAGTAACTTAAGGCCTCAGCCCAAATCGCACAACAACCACATTCACTTAGTCCAACTGAGAAGCCTCGTTTTCAACCGAGTTTCCTCAATAAAACAACCTAAGTAAAGTTTAGCCCGCGGCTGCACCTAGGCTGCCTACATACTCTTATTGAGAGATCAAGTCATACGTAGTTCTTTCCTAAAACCCTTTACTTTAAGTCACAACTCACCGAACATAATCTTTAATTTATCTCCCTAATAATCACATAATCTCCCCATACGTCGGAACATCCAACGCCACGTATGGGACCTGTCAACACGCCGGAAAATCCTACGCCACGTGCTACCTCAACATAATATCACATAATCTCCCCATACGCCGGAAAATCCAACTTCACGTATGGGGTCTGTCCTCAAGCCAGAAAATCCTATGCCACGTGGGACCTTAACATAATCAAATAATCTCCCCATACGTCGGAAAATCCAATGCCACGTATGGGGTCTGTCAACATGCCGGAAAATCCAACGCCACATGTGACCTCTCATCTCATGTCACATAATCTCCCTATACGCTGGAACATCCAACGCCACGTATGGGGTCTGTCAACATGCCGGAAAATCCAACGCCATGTGCGACCTCTCATCTTATGTCACATAATCTCCCCATACGCCGGAACATCCAACGCCACCTATGGGGTCTGTCTTAACGCCGGAAAATCCTACGCCACGTCAGACCTAACCATGACAGGGTGTACTTACACAGTGAATCAAACATCTTTATATCTTTATAATATATATATACAGTCCCCTTCTATTGAGGGATCCCACAAATAATTTTATTTGAGGGACGCCTTTAGGGTACCCTACAATTTTTTTTCCAATAATCCAAACCATCTATTTTTCAGGTCTTCATTCATAGATCATTCTTACAAAAAATTAGACAAATCGGAAACCATTTTGACATCCAATTGTGTCCTACAAAATCAATGAACACAACGCTTCAAGAAAGTACTAAAATTTCAATAACTCAATTGAATGGTCAAATGATATCGGATTCAAGTGATTTTTTGTAGAGATGATCTTTGAATGAGTATCTACAAAATAGACGGTATGGATTAATGAAATACAATCCAGAGTGGGTCCTACAAGGGGTGTCCCTCAAATAAGCTTATTTGAGGGATCCCTCAATAGAAGCTTATATATATATATATATATATATATTAATTTCCAATATTGCATAAACCTCAACCACAATATAGTATCCGATAATCCCCCAATTTAAAACAATAAATTAATATCCTAATCCACATAATCATCATAACTCAACAACGCTCAAGGCCTGTCACTAGGGTCATTGTAATCCTCCTAGGAAGGTAAAACTACCTCGGAAGACTCACGGTCAACCAAGGGTCAAACTACCTAAACTTGGTCAAAGGGGCCCACGACCTTCAAATTCCGATTTGAAAGTTCCTATGTGTTTTACAAGGTTTAGGACACACTTCCTGCAAGCTTTGTCTAGATCGGACGGTCGGATCGCTCACGATCGCACGATCGCACGATTACTGTAACCATAGCCCTAGGGTTGGCATTTTCGGAGTATCCAGGACTCCTACCCTAGGTATAACACGCTATTTGGAACCACTTTTGTTCTTGTAATACCCCAAAAACTGACCGAAAGTGGCCGGAATCTCATCCCGAAATCAGGTCAAAGTCCAATTCGAAAATTAGACAATCTAGGCTAAAAATTGATGCAATCCTACCCAACCATTAGCTAAAGCTCGGAAAAGAGGTGAGAAACCATACTTCATTTGCCGGAATTGGTGGCCGGATGACGGAGAACAAAGTCGGAGAAATTCGAGCGAAAACCGGCCGTTTCTCTTCGTTTTTTCCGGCGAAATCACAGCGGTAAACAGCAGGACTTGGCTGGGGTTGGAAGAGGATGGCGGCCCGGTCATTTTGGTACCTGCCCCGTTAGCTTTGGTGGCCGGACGAGAGCACAGTCGACCAAAACGTGGCTGACTGTTACAGCCGTCGCGAGAGAAGAGAGAGAGAGACTGCGCGGAGAAGTGAGAGATGAGGGCTTTTTTTACTTTTATCAAACCCTTTTCGCAATATTTAAGATTATGCCATTGAGGGTATTTTCATCGTATCTCTCTCGATACAATTCCGATTCGAGCCCACCATGTGTCTATGAACTCATCTCGCCGTGCTCTATGCAACGGTACAGTCGAAATTCTCAAATTTCTTCCCAGTCAAAAAGTCAACTTTAAAACCCATAAAATATTCTTTGGGCAAAATGGTCTTTTATCTGAATAAATTAATATTTACCAATTTATTTAGGACCGGGTCGTTACAATACATCAACTGAATTTCTAAAGCTTTCAAGTCACTTAGACTGAAATCAGCAGGATAGAATTTCTCAGCAAGTTTACATAGATGCCCAATATTGAATGATTTGAAGGAATTACAAGGATCCAATGCTGAGCTAAGAATAAGAAGTTCAACTGTTTGCTCTGGAAATCTGTCATTTAACTCCCTCAACATGCAATCTATCACATCATTAAATACATCAATGCGATAGTAATGTTCAACTGTAATGAAATCTTTTTGTTGACAAAAATGACGTGTGCCCATCATATAACAAGAACTCATACAAGGAACATCAATACCATGTTGTTCACAAAATAATACCACACTCATGAATAAATCATCCCGCCCCTGTGCCCTTATATCTCGGAACTGTGATTTTATGTTTTCAACAAAGTTTAAAGCACTTACAATATCTTGAGTTTTTGTTTGAAACACTTGACAAAGAAAATTGGTCAGTCCCATAATTTTATCTATCAAAAGCAATGAAAACACAAACTCAAAAGACATCATAGCAATATAGTTACTCTCTGCATCACCACAAAATTGTTGGTTAGGTCCATAATCACTGATTTCCTGGTGAAGTATTTTAGTCTCTTTAAATAAACTCATCAAACTTGTAATAGAGGCAAAGTGAGATCCCCAACGAGTGGCTCCAGCACGTTTCAAACTACGACCTTAATTAAGTCCTCTACCTGTCTCAAGTTCCCTAGAATCCAACAATTCTTTGAGTTCAGCTTTTCGAATTAAATTTAATTCATTACGACGCTTAGCAGAAACACTAACAAAATTCACAATGTTAGTCAACGTTGAAAAAAAAATTTCCATACAACTTTCCCATCTTTCATTGCTTTTTATTGTTTTTGTTAAATGAGGAAGTTTGAGTGGGCTGAGCTATTATTTTTGTTAAAGGGAAAATTTTGAGTGGGTTAGGTTTGAGTAGGCAGAAGAAATTTTATTGTATTGAGTATTGGGTAATTTTTGGTTTGGCAAAAAGTGGAGTAGGCGGCTGGGTTGGGTTTGAGTAGGCAGAAGAAATTTGATTGTATTGGGTATTGGGTAATTTTTGGTTTGGCAAAATATGGAGTAGGCTGCTGCGTACCTGAGGGTAGGACAACCAAACAAATGATCTAGAGGGCCTCAACAGGAGCAAAGTTAGATGGCTACCAAAACAGAGGAAGAAATGTTGAGACCCTACCCCCCAACTTGATGAGTTGAGGTTTTCAATCAGACGGCCATTATATTTCTTTAATCCCCTTCTAGTAATTAAATTGTTGTGATGTGTATACTATTTGGATAATATAATAAGCTGAATAAAACAAAGAAGATGAATTTCGTCCCGGAGGAGCTGCAGCTGTGATGTCTTTATAAGGACAGTCTATGTTATGAAACTTTGAAAGTGCGGAGAAAAATATGACTTCAGAAATCAAGGTTGAAGTCAGTCGGGAGGAAACAATTAGACCATCCTCTCCAACTCCTCACCACCTCAGAAGTTCTAACCTTTCTGTTTTTGATCAGCTTACTCCTCAAGTTTATGTCCTACTACTTCTCTTTTATCCCAGCAATAATAGTGATCACCATTCTTCGGCTTCGGCTGCTGAAAGAACCAAGCTTCTAAAATGGTCATTATCTGAAACCCTCAGTCACTTCTATCCCTTTGCAGGAACAATCCAATCTAATGATGTTTCAATCAGTTGCAATGACCATGAGGCTACATTTTTTGAAGCCAGAGTCAACTGTCCGATGTCAAAGATATTGGAGAAGCCAGATCTTGGGATACAAAAACAGTTGCATCCAAATGAATTAGAATTCATGGCATAATCAGGCACAGGCCATCTTCTACTAGTCCAAGCCAACTTCTTTGAATGTGGTGGGGTGGCAATTGGACTCGGACTCAACATTTCACATAAGATCATTGATGCTTATACGCTCTGCAAATTCATTAATAGCTGGGCTGCAATTGCCCTTGGCTCAGCCAATACCGACCATGTTGTGCCTCCTGTAGAATTTGGTGCTACAGCATCTATTTTCCCACCTCTGGATTTCCTCAATTCACCACAACCTTCCATTGACTTTGTCAAGGAAAATTGCATAACAAGGAGATATGTGTTTGATGCCTCCAAGATAGCTGCTCTTAAGTCAAAAGCTCCCAGTGCTGCTGTGCCAAACCCAACTCGTGTTGAAGTAGTGTCAGCGCTCATTTGGAAATGCGTAATGGAAGCATCAAGATCAAACTCAGATTTTGTAAGGCCATCTGTGTGGTGTCAATTTGTGAACATGAGGAAGATATTGCCGCAGGCCCCGGCGGAAAACTTATTGGGAAATCTTGTAGGGTACTCTGTAGCAAAGACAGAGGAGAGGGAAGTAGAACATGATGTTAAAAGCTTGGTTTCTAAATTAAGGAAGGGCTTGGAAGAATTGAAGGTAAAATATGGTAATGGAATTAGTAGTTATCGAAGCTCGTTGGAAAGGTTGATATAGACACCTATTGTTCTACCAGTTGGTGTAGGTTTCCCTTCTATGAAGCCGATTTTGGATGGGGAAAGCCATCATGGATGAGTAACCCTAGTACTGTAGAAATCAAGAACATGATTTCATTGGTGGATGTAAGTGATGGGATTGGCATAGAAGTGCGCTTGACTTTGAAAGATGAAGATATGGCCATAATCGAAAGCAACCAGGAGATGCTTGCATATGCTTCTCTGAATCCGAGTGTCGTGTAATTAATTAGTATACAAAAATCAATCTGCGTCTTCTGCATCTCAAGTACCATTTCTAAAGTGACAAACTTGTTTAATAAAGGAAATATCGTCATGATCCTTAAAGCTTGCACATGCTTCTCTGTATCTGAGTCAGGGTGTCATCTGTTATTAATTTGTACCAAAAAGTCCTCCTCTTGCTTTTAGAATTCACACCTATGCTAGGTTGGAAAATTGATGATCTCTCTTGTTACTTTGAATTGTTGGTCTGATGTCGTTCTCGATGCAGAGGGATGGACAATGTATTGCTTTCAACTAAACAGATTTAATTTTCAATTACTAGCTCATTATTCTATGTATATTATGCATACCTTAGAACTAGTTAGCATGGAATATTATTTTTGGACGATACGTGGTCAAGCTAACAATCGTAGACTTTGGTACTTTGCATAGAGTTGTAGTTAAACAAATATGTACACTAGGGAGGGTCTATATATGATTAACCCACGGGTGTTTACATGAACCAGGAAGGCATCAGCTGGAGCAAAGTAAGATGGCCACAGAAACCAAGGTACAAATTCTCGAGAGGCAAACAATTATTATCTGAAGCCCTCACTCACTTGTAACCCTTTGCATGAAAATTCAAATATAATGTTTCAATGACCTGCAATGACCATGAAGCTTCATCTTGAAGCAAAAGTCAACTGTCCGATATCGAATTAACATGAATTAATTCTACACACTTGAGGAATAAAAGCAAATAGATTCCTTTCGGCATATGACAAAATGTTTAAGCAAATTAACAACGATGGTTCAATTTACATTTTTTTATGGGACTATATAAATATCCATTCATTTATAAGATAAGCACAAAATACTTACAAAAAAATCCTATCTAATAAACCTTTTGGAGAAAAATTAGGTGAGCCTAGAATTATTGTTGATTAAATATGTGTCTTTATATATGGAGGATCTTTGTTATGAAAGTCAAGTTAGAAGCAAAAGATGGTTACAGAGATGAAGGTTGAAGTCATTTGCAAGGAAACAATTAAACCATCCTCTCCAACTCCTCACCACCTGCGAATTTCCAATCTCTCTGTTTTTGATCAGGTCACATCTGAAGTTTATGTCCAATTACTTCTCTTCTATCCCAGCAGTAGTGATGAGGTCAATAATATTGATCACTGCCATTCTTTGTTTGCTGAGAGATCCATCCTTCTAAAAACATCATTATCTGAAACCCTCACTTACTTTTACCCCTTGGCCGGAGAATTCAAATATAATTCTTCAATAAGCTGCAATGACCATGGGGCTGCATTTGTTGAAGCCAGAGTCAACTGTCCCATATCACAGATTTTGGGCCAACCAGATCTTGGGATGCAGAAACAATTGGTTCCAGATCATATAGAATGCAGGACACAATCAGGCAAATGCTATCTTCTACTAGTCCAAGCCAACTTCTTTGAATGTGGTGGAGTGGCAATTGGAGTTGCCATTTCGCATAAGGCCGGTGATGCTTATACACTCAGTAAGTTCATTAATAGCTGGGCTGCAATTGCCCTTGGCTCCACTACGACTACTGATGTAGTGCCTCCTGCACAATTTGGTGCTGCAGCTTCTCTTTTACCACCTCTGGAGTTCCTCAACTTGCCACAACCTCTCTTGGAATTTGTCCACGAAAATTGTGTAACAAGGAGATTAGTGTTTGATGCCTCAAAGATTGCTGCTCTAAAGTCCAAAGCTGCCAGCACCACCGTGCCAAACCCAACACGTGTTGAAGTAGTGTCAGCGCTCATTTGGAAATGCGTAATGGAAGCATCAAGATCAAACTTGGGTTCGGCGAGGCCATCCGCATGGTGTCAAGTTGTGAACATGCGGAAAATAATGGTTCTGCCCTTGACAGTCGACTTATTGGGAAATTTCTTCGGGTACTTTGTAGCAAGGACAGAAGAAAGTGAAGTAGATCATGACGTTCAAAGCTTGGTTGCTGAAATGAGGAAGGGCTTTGAGGAATTTAAGGTAATTTTTGCTAATGGAATTAGTGGGGAGGATGTGTTGCAGCTGTGCAAAGAGTTAGGGGAGCTCATTGGAAAGGTGGATACGGACAACAACTATTGTTCCACCAGTTGGTGCAGGTTTCCCTTCTACAAAGCCAATTTCGGATGGGGAAAGCCATCCTGGATGAGTATCCCAGCTGGTGCTGTAGAAATCAAGAACATAATTTCATTGATGGATGAAAGAGATGGGAATGGTATAGAAGTAAGATTGAGTTTGAAAGAGGAAAACATGGCCTTAGTTGAAAGTAACCAGGAGCTGCTTGCATACGCTTCTCTGAATCCGAGTCTCGACCTGTAATTTTTCCTCCTCCTTTTTTTCTTTGTACTCGAGCAAAGGAGAGATTAAAACTTATTGGAACCTCTTCCAATAAAAGAGAAATCTCACTAGATGAAGAGCTAGGTCGACCATGTGTAACTAATTAGTAACAAAATTAATATGAATGTTATGTTGTTACCTTTGATGATATCACTCATTGCTTTGATAATTGGTCTTAAAATTGTTGGCTAGTCCTTACTTAGTTAGGATTTTAGTTCCTTACTATGTTCGGATTTTGGTTACTTACCAATTTATTTAGTCCTATTATAAAAAGGAGTTGTTTCTATTTGCCATGAAGATATTGTCTATTCCTTGACTCTGACAACCCCTTCTCTTCAGGGGGGAGAGGGGGAGTGAAGAACAATTATGTCTGCATGAATTAGCTAAAGTTGATATAGAAGAATTTGTTGTTGCCGTTTCCATTGCTGTTGTCGTTGCCTCTACTGCCATCGTTGATGTTGCCTTTGTTTGCTTCGCGTTGTTGTGGTCATTGCCATTACCATTGTTGTGGTCGTGCCCTTTGCCTTTATTTGCATTGCCTTACCTAGCTTTGCCTTGTCTTGCCATTGCTTTACCCTATTTTTAGGGTTTGGTTTTACCTTGCCTTTGCCATGTTCACAAGGTTTCTATGTCCTTTGTTTTGTTCGCATGGTTTCTATGTTTTTTGCTTTGTCTTTGCCATGTTCACAGGTTTCTGTGTTCTTTGTCGTGTTCATAGGGTTTCTGTGTTCTTTGCTTTGCCTTTGTCATGTTTACAGGGTTTCTGTGTTCTACTATGTGTCTTATTTTTTAGGGTTTGCTCTTATGTTTCCGCTGCGATCTTTGCTTTGGTTTGTCAATTGTTTCACTCATTGTTTATGAAAATACCTTCTCTATTGTTCTTCAATTGGTCAATGTCAAGTATTGTGTTCTATGACTGTCAAGTTGGGCATGCAAAACATCTTTGCCCCAATTTGAGGGGGAGTGTTGGCGAATACTTACGTAGTTAGGATTTTGGTTACTTACTCATTTATTTAGTACTATTGTAATTGAGATTTATTTCCTATTGTGTTTAAGGTTAACACATCTTTGTACTTCTTTATAAATACCTCTATATTGGAGAAGAATATATATCTCAAAAATATAAGCATAATTGAATATTTGCTCTACTTTGCTTGAAAAAAATTAGTTGTAGAATATTATTCTTGGACGATATGGGGTCAAGTAAACCTTCCACTTGATGATGACTTGTATCCGACAGGATAAAATCCAACCAAACCATCGTAGACTTTGGAACTTTGCATTGAATTTAAAGAGAGTGGAAGAATAAAGGACTAATTTTCTCATTATTATTAATAATACAAATTTATAAATAAACCCAATCCTATACATGTATTTATAAAAAAACCCAAGCACTATTTAAACATAGAAACACACCCAAAATCAACCTCAAAATCAACAATTGTATATTTTTTGGGTGTGTTTATAAATGGGTTTTGAGTGTGTGTAATGATGGGTTTTGGGTGTGTTTATAAAGTGTTTTGGGTGTTGGGTTTTTTTATAATTTCAGCCCCCATTTTGGGTGTTTTAGTGAAACTCCCTATTAATAATTTAATTAGTGCTCTTAATATTAATACGAGAGCCCTTCACCATCTAAGAGCTGCCAGTGACAGTCTTAGCCTAACTAACAGTCTTAGCCTAAGTCTTCTGATAGCCGTTGATTAGGAAGATTATAATTGTGATGATCAGAAGATACCTGCTACCAGAATTTTTGTTTATACAAATACGAACAATTCACACATTTTTACATGATCTGCAACCAAACAAATGATCTAGAGGGCCTCAGCAGGAGCAAAGTTAGATGGCTACTAAAACAGAGGAAGAAATTGTTGAGAGGTGGCAAAAAAATTTACCATCCCCCCAACTGGATGAGTTGAGAAGTTAAAAGCTCTCTTTTTTAAATCTGACGGCCATTATATTTCTTTAATCCCCTTCTAGTAATTAAATTGTTATGATGTGTATATTTGGATAATATAAGACCATTTCCAACTCAAGGGGTGAAATGTCAAAATTTGGATTTTGAGTCCAAAATTCATCTTCAACCCATGTATTTGGGCAGGTGGAATTTGAGTCCAAGCGGAATATTGGGCGGAATACCAGTCCAGATATTGCATGGACTGGTAATTTTTGTGGAGCCCAATAGGCAGCTCCATTTTGAAAGCTCTTGATCCATTTTTGTTTTTTTAAATACCAACAGCTATTCCAAAGAAGTTGATGTTTCCCATTTTATTTTATTTTTAATTCCAACATCTATATATAATCAATGGACATGATTATTTTTAGGCAATCTCAACGGGAAAAATTCACATCTAATTGCTGAAATTTAAATTCAATGGTCAAATAATTTTTATAATTAATCTAAATTAGATCTAATTCAAAACTCATCCCCAACTCTATAAATACCCATCGTTTTGTTATACTTGCTTTTATTCTTTAAGCGAAATTATTTTTGGATTTTTTTAGATCAAAATATTGAGAAAATTAAATCATGAATGTTGAAACAAAAATAATGTCAAGAAAAATTAACAAAAATAATAATAATTATGGATTAACTATTCTTAAACAATCTAATAAAGTTGCAGACTCAAATTATGAGTCTACAAGGTTGGAGGAAAAAACATTTTGAGTCTTAAAAATACATGAATGGTTGTATTTTAGAGGGTGAAAATTTGAGTTTAACCTCAACATAGTTGGAGATGGTCTAATAAGCTGAATAAAACAAAGAAGTTGAATTTCGTCCCAGAGGAGCTGCAGCTGTGATGTCTTTATATGGACGGTCTGTGTTATGAAACTTTGAAAGTGCGGAGAAAAATATGACTTCAGAAATCAAGGTTGAAGTCAGTCGGGAGGAAACAATTAGACCATCCTCTCCAACTCCTCACCACCTCAGAAGTTCTAACCTTTCTGTTTTTGATCAGCTTACTCCTCAAATTTATGTCCCACTACTTCTCTTTTATCCCAGCAATAATAGTGATCACCATTCTTCGGCTTCGGCTGCTGAAAGATCCAAGCTTCTAAAAAGGTCATTATCTGAAACCCTCAGTCACTTCTATCCCTTCGCAGGAACAATCCAATCTAATGATGTTTCAATCTGTTGCAATGACCATGGGGCTACATTTGTTGAAGCCAGAGTCAACTGTCTGATGTCAAAGATATTGGAGAAGCCAGATCTTGGGATACAAAAACAGTTGCATCCAAATGAATTAGAATTCATGGCACAATCAGGCACATGCCATCTTCTACTAGTCCAAGCCAACTTCTTTGAATGTGGTGGGGTGGCAATTGGACTCAACATTTCACATAAGATCATTGATGCTTATACGCTCTGCAAATTCATTAATAGCTGGGCTGCAATTGCCCTTGGCTCAGCCAATACTGACCATGTTGTGCCTCCTGTAGAATTTGGTGCTGCAGCATCTCTTTTCCCACCGCTGGATTTCCTCAATTCACCACAACCTTCCATTGACTTTGTCAAGGAAAATTGCATAACAAGGAGATATGTGTTTGATGCCTCCAAGATAGCTGCTCTTAAGTCAAAAGCTGTCAGTGCTGCTGTGCCAAACCCAACTCGTGTTGAAGTAGTGTCAGCGCTCATTTGGAAATGCGTAATGGAAGCATCAAGATCAAACTCAGATTTTGTAAGACCATCTGTGTGGTGTCAATTTGTGAACATGAGGAAGATATTGCCGCAGGCCCCGGCAGAAAACTTATTGGGAAATCTTCTGGGGTACTCTGTAGCAAAGACAGAGGAGAGGGAAGTAGAACATGATGTTAAAAGCTTGGTTTCTAAATTGAGGAAGGGCTTGGAAGAATTGAAGGTAAAATATGGTAATGGAATTAGTAGAGAGGATGTGTTCCAACGGTGCATTGAGTTATCGAAGCTTGTTGGAAAGGTTGATATAGACACCTATTGTTCCACCAGTTGGTGCAGGTTTCCCTTCTATGAAGCCGATTTTGGATGGGGAAAGCCATCATGGATGAGTATCCCTAGTACTGTAGAAATCAAGAACATGATTTCATTGGTGGATGTAAGTGATGGGATTGGCATAGAAGTGCGCTTGACTTTGAAAGACGAAGATATGGCCATAATCGAAAGCAACCAGGAGATGCTTGCATATGCTTCTCTGAATCCGAGCGTCGTATAATTAATTAGTATACAAAAATTAATGTGCGTCTTCTGCATCTCAAGGACCATTTCTAAAGTGAAGAACTTGTTTAATAAAGGAAATATCGTCATGATCCTCGAAGCTTGCACATGCTTCTCTGTATCTGAGTCAGAGTCTCATCTGTTATTAATTAGTACCAAAAAGTCCTCCTCTTGCTTTTAGAATTCACACTCATGCTATGTTGGAAAATTGATGATCTCTCTTGTTACTTTGAATTATTGGTCTGATGTCGTTCTCGATGCGGAAACGATGGACAATGTATTGCTTTCAACTAAACAGATTTAATTTTCAATTACTAGCTCATTATTCTATGTATATTATGCATACCTTAGAACTAGTTAGCACAGAATATTATTTTTGGACGATATGGGGTCAAGCTAACAATACTAGACTTTGGTACTTTGCATAGAGTTGCTGTTAAACAAATATGTATACCAGGGAGGGTCTATATATGATTAACCCACATGTGTTTACATGAACCAGGAAGGCATCAGCTGGAGCAAAGTAAGATGGCCACAGAAACCAAGGTACAAATTATCGAGAGGCAAACAATTAAACCATCTTCCGCAACTCCTCCTCACTTGAGAAGTTTTAAGCTCTCTTTTTTCGATCAGACAGCAATTGTAATTTACATCCCAATCCTACTCTACTATCCCAATACTGGCTCTACTAGTAAGGTCAGAACTGGTCACCATGACCATGTCGTGGCCATCAATGAAAGATGTCAGCATCTAATTGAATCATTAAGCAAAACTCTCACTCACTTCTACCCTTTAGCAGGAAGGATTATTGAAGGTAAAGCCATGGTCGAATGCAATGATGCAGGAGCTGAATTTGTCAAAGCGCAAATCAACTGTTCCTTATCGGAGATTTTGGAACACCCAGATGCTCAGATGTTGAAAGAATTCCTTCCAATTGAATATGAATCCAAAGAGGCAAGCACAGGCCGGTTGCTTCTTGTACAAATCAACTGTTTTGAGTGTGGTGGAATGGCAATTGGGTTGAGCATTTCACATAGGATTGCTGATGCATCCACACTATCCACTTTCATCAAGTGTTGGGCCACAATAGCCTTTGGGTCCAGAGACAGTGATCAGGTACTACTAGTGCTTCCAAAATTTGGTGCTGCATCTGTGTTTCCACCAATAGATTTCTCTAACTCCACACAACCACCAGCCAGGGAAGTTATCAAAGTAGAAAACTGCATAACAAAGAGGTTTGTGTTTGATGCATCAAAGATCGCTGCTCTCCAATCTGAATCAACCAGTTCAGTCCTGCCCAAACCTACACGTGTAGAAGCGGTTTCAGCACTCATTTGGAAATGTGCAATGGAAGCGTCATCAAGATCAAAGTTGGGGACTTCAAGACGATCTGGGTTCTGTCAAGATGTGAACTTGCGCAAAAGGGTTGTGCCACCCTTGCCAGAAAACTTGGTGGGGAATGTTGTGGGCTCTTTTACATCAACGGCTGAAGAGGGTACCATAGATCTAAAAGGCTTGGTTGCTAAATTGAGGGAAGGGATTGAAGAACTGAAAGAAAAGTATGCTAAAAAACTTGTCTTTGATTCAAATGAGGCATGGCAAGGGATCAAAGATAAGCACAGTAAGCTGAAAAATGATGATGAAATGGAGATTTATAGCTGCACAAGTTGGTGTAGGTTTCCTTTCTATGAAGCCGATTTCGGATGGGGAAAGCCATCATGGGTGAGTGTAATTAGCATTGCAATTAAGAATATAATTGTTTTGATGGATAAAGGAGATTGCAATGGAATTGAAGCTTGGTTGACTATGAGCCAAGAAAGCATGGCCTTATTTGAAAGTAATGTGGAACTGCTCGGATATGCTTCTGTAAATCCAAGTTTGATCACCACTTAATTGTGTCCTTAAATAACTTGAAAGAAAAAAAAGGGAAGGAACAACATTGATAGCTTATCTACTGTCTTCAAGCATATGATCTTGTCTATGTACTGTGAAAGTGCAATTGGCCAAATACATCCAGTCCCCATTTGAATCATGTTCTATATACTCAATCATTGGTACGATGCTTTCCCACCCTGTTCATCAGTTGAATGACATAGTTTATGAACAAGTTTCCAATTTTTCATTTATAAATAAATTGACACCATTTCTTTCCTTATCATGTACCCAACCATTCCATTTGTCTTCATATTAAAGGTCAAGTTTTGTTGATATATATAAAATATAAATATATTATTTATTTATACAGGTGATATTGAGAAATGGGGAATCAAATCTAGGACCTCAAATACACAGATAAATGCTCTTAACCATTTAAGCTACAAACCAATTGCAATGTTTTAATTTTTACATTTATATAGAACTTATACTATGGTTAACTCATGATATATAATATGATTTTCAAATTCGATTCTCCCATTCCTATTGATCCAAATAATTAAAAAAAGCATCCCACAATCCCATTTGAAAATCGTTGATACTAGGCTAGGTGTGTGAAATGGTGCTTCAGTTAAATAAATATGAACGAGTGACATAATTGATATTTCAAAGACCGAGAGTATATTAATTAATAAATAAATAAATACATGTACACTTATAAATTGTTAGTTGGTAACATGACATGACAGTATGTAAGTTCTTGTACCGAGAATCCAATTATCCTTTGGAATTGTGCTTCGGTTAAATTTTGTAATTTACAAGGTTTTTTATTTTATTTTTTTATTTACAAACTAATGTCCTGTAGTTAGTTTATACATTTTTAATTTTTGACGCCATTGCTTGCTTCATCATGTCCCAAGTTCCCACCTACTCTATTTGTCTTCGTATTAAAAGTCAAGGTAGTTGCTTAAGGATACAATGCCTATTAAATTTTTCTAAATAGAATGCTTAAGGGATAATCTTTTTTATTCATAAAGCTAATAGGACCTTGTACATATATCATTATTGGAAGCACGACTTCGCCTAAGCTTCACATATTTTATTTATATGATGAATACTATTCATAACTCCAAAAGATACATACAAATTATAATGCTTCAAATTCAATAGCTCTTAGATGCTGCTGGCCTTAGCCGACTATTCGTCGAATTTTTCTTTTTTTATTCTAATAATTGTCGTTCGTGAGATATGATTTTTTTTAAATTGTTATAGAATTTAGAAAGATGTAATCTCAAACTAAATTTCTTTCTATTTTATGTTGATCTCAATTCTGTGAAGGGCTTTTTTTACGGACACTTTTTGTTCACTTTGGAAAAGCATTTTGATTCTTTTCAAACTGCATTACCTCTGGCCGGCATCTTTTGTTAACTTTTGAAGCTTTTCAACCCAGTTGCTAGATCATATTACATAACATTCACACATCTGTCAGGCCAGATTGTTCTTATGAGCAAGCAACATTCATGCAACCCAATTGTTCAATTGTTCTGTGAGTTGTCAGTCTTGTGAATTGTGATTCACCAAAGAGAAGTTGAAGCGGATCATGGAGTTTGAAATAATCAAGAGAGAAACCATAAAACCATCCTCTCCAACTCCCCATTATCTTAGAAACTTCAAGCTTTCACTTTTGGATCAACTTGGTCCTGTTGCTTATGAACCCCTGGTCCTCTTCTACCCCAAAAATGGCATTGCAACCCCCCAAAAATCCGTCTGGATCATCAAGAAATCACTGTCCGAAACCTTAACTCGCTTCTACCCGCTTGCCGGAAGAATCAAAGGTAAAATCTCCATTGATTGCAATGACCATGGGGTTGACTATGTGGAAGCTAGAGTCAATGGCCTTCTGTCTACCTTTCTCTCAAAACCAGATGCTCAGACACTGAGAAAGCTCCTTCCTGTAGACGCAGAGTCACCTGAAGCAGGCAGGGGACCTCTGCTTCTTGTTCAGGCCAATGTCTTTGATTGTGGTGGATTGGCAATTGGGGTTTGTATGTCACATAAGTTGGCCGATGCAGCCTCATTGAGCACATTCATTCTGGCCTGGTCAGCCACTGCCCTTGGATTTAGTCAAGCTCTACTTCCAGATTTCTCTGCATCGTTCCGATTTCCACCAACTGATCACGCCTCCTCATTCCAGCAGTCTTCAGTGGATGTGAAGAGAGTGAATTGTGTGACAAAGAGGTTTGTTTTTTATGCATCCAAGATTGCAGGTCTTAGGACTAAAGCGGCCAGTGCAATCGTGGATCAGCCTACGTGTGCCGAAGCTGTGACAGCCCTCATCTGGAGATGTGCAGCGGCTGCTGCATCAAGATCATCAAGCTCACTGCAGTCTCCTAAGCTATCTGTCTTGTCCCAATCTGTGGACATCCGCAAAAGGGTCTTGCCGCCGTTGTCAGATGACTCAATTGGGAACCTTGTGGGATACTTCGCTGCACATACAGATGAGACTGAGTTGGACCTGCAAGGCTTGGTTGCAAAACTGAGGAAAGGAATAAAAGAATTGAGCAACAGTTATGCCAAAAGACTTCAAAAAGATCAGGCATTGCAGGTGGTTTGTAAGTCTTTCAAAGAGGCAGATGAGTTGATCAAAAGAGATGACATTGTTAACTTTTATGTGGGCACAGATTTGTGTAATTATAAGTTATTGTACGGGGTAAGTTTTGGGTGGGGAAATCCAATCTGGCTTAGTAATGTCCCTGCTGCTTCAAACAATAATGTTGCCTCTTTGGTGAGCACAAGAGAGGATGGTGGCATAGAGGCTTGGGTGACTTTGAGTGAGGAAGACATGGCTGCTTTTGAACAGGATCAGGAACTTCTTGCTTTTGCTTTCATGAATCCAAGTGTCTTAGAAGTAGAACCCATTACAAGGAAGTCTGCTCTGTAAATTTTTCACGTGCTGTTGTTTGCTTGTTGAATTATCCAATATTAGAGCTTAGTATTTGGGTCTCTCTGCTGATCTGGGGTTGAATTTTTTGTTCTGTAAGCTTAAGATCAATAATTCAGGATCGAATTTTAGTGGAATTTGACTTTCACCGCACAAGGTTCCACCCTAAACTCTTTATAAGCCTTTGATAGGTTTCTCAACTTTCCAATGTGGCACATTTCACCTTCAATTTTCCAAGCTTTCGGTTCTTTCTCAACCTGTTCGCTTGCGGGGGCATGTTAGACAGAATCAATCTCTACATTCAAATTCCAACTCTTTATATTATCTGATTGTGTTTTTCGGATTCTAGGTAAGATTATTTAGGCGTGTTTTAAATTGTTGATTAACTCTTACGTGTAAATAGGGATTTACCCTACTGTTTGTAATGGCTGGGTATCTATAAGGGCTCCATCATGCTGATGTACAAGCTAAAACATTCTTGTGTGGTTATTAAGTTGTACAGGTACAACACAAAAGAAATCGAATCCTATCCAGGTACAAAAGGAAGTTACCTGAATGACAAGAAATCGGCAACAACAACAAAACCAGAATCTGCCCCGACTCCGGCCGACGGCAACCTGCTCTCATATGTTTTGCGTGATCTGTAGGGAATAATTATTATTATGTAGCGTTTTTATGCTGCCATTCAATTGAATACGTAACCAACGCAGCTTGATTTCAGCAGCAACGTCGACGAATTGAATGACCCGCGTGTTAAGATTCCGTATCCGGAAGGGTTGGGATATTGTCGAACTGGATGTGCGTTTTCTCCCGATGGCAGTGGTTGTAATTTTCTTAACTATCTCTGGGAGGAGGAATTTTTGTAGGTACCCGGTACACCAGCTGGCTGGTGTACCCGCCAATGAGAATGTGACACGTGTAATAATTTATTTTTAGCCTTAAAATTACAATAACTTTTAACTCCGTTTGTCTTTTAACTCTGTTAGAGTCTACTCACTCTTCTGATGCATACAGAGACGTCCCAATTACCCAGACTTGCTTTACCGATGCATACAGAGACGTCCCATCCCACCCCATGTGGTCTAATTCCATTTATTATTCCATCAATCTCAAATAAGGTGCGATGTTATTAAGAAATTAGGAAGAAGAAAAGAACAAAAAAAAGAGATTTCAAGATGTGCAGAATAGCGGAGGAAGGGGAAAGAAGGCATCAGCGTGTCCGTCGCAGGCGGTGGCTGCCGGAATATTCCAGATCAACACAGCCGTTTCCACTTTCCGTCGACTGGTCGATGCCATCGGCACTGCCAAGGACACTCCCGACCACCGCCAAAAGCTGTGCGTCTCTCTCTCTCTCTCTCTCTCTCTCTCTCCCTTTGCGCTTTCACTATAGCTCTGCGGCCTCTGCCTCTGAGGAACATTTGGAACCTACCAGCACCAGGGATCAGCACCGCCAACCTTTCCTTCAGGAGCGAAAGAGGTAATCAATGTTCTATCTGCATTCACATTATCATTGCTTGTTCTTTTCGTTTTATTTCATCTGTCATTGCCAATTCCAAACCATCCTTCACCTTCCATTTTTGGCTTTTCATACTATGAGAAAGGATGAATAGTTCCCAGCGTTCTTCAATTGGGTCATTTAACTTTTGTATTGTTGGACTGCTTGGAGCTCCCATCCCATTGCCATCGTTTTGTCAATATCTCTAGCAGTACAACACCAAAGCTAAATACATCTTATTTCGTCGAGAAAATTCCATCGAAATGAAACGATAATATTCTAATTCATATTTAATAGATAAAACCACACAAAATACTCATGTTCATTATCAACTTCAAAAAATAGACACACACTACAATAAACCAGAAATATCTCTAAGAATGTGATAATAAACCAAAAATTAGCGCAATATTCTTCTTTGCCTTCCAAGGCTTCTCGTCCTATTCGACGTAAGAGCTAGCATATATTAGCACAAGACTGCTCACTACGGGGCATTTACGTCATTTCTTAGGTCCGTGTCGTTGATTTTATTTTGGGCTCTAGCTCTCAAACTTTGGACCCTTATGAGTACTATCTTAGGGGAAGCTTATTCAAGCAAATATTTCATCAATACGTAAGAGTTAGGTTATTCTTGTAAAACTCTTTGTGGATTGAATATCTAAGGTTTTTTACCTAGATTGACCTTAGATCCCTTCATGCATTCATATCATACATGAAAAATTGTTTTATGTAAAAATATTGGTTAAGTATGAAAAATGGTTTTTCGAAATAATCAATAATTTTTGGCAACTTTTATTTTTTACACATCAAATAAGAAAACTTGATTTTATGGAAATTTAATATGAAGTATATATTGACTCAATGAGCCATCATTTTTAGCCTAAATCGTATTTTGCACTAAAACCGAATTTTGATATTTTGATTTGGTGGGAATTTGATTTTCTAGTATTTTTGTTTGAATCCAAATGGGGAGTACTTCCTTATTTACATTGTAAACTTAAGTAAATAGAGTAATATAAAAATAAATTAAAGTAAAAGGACAAAGACATTTACTTAAATGATGAAAATGGAAATAAGGTTTTTGTACAACGTTGTCGTTTTGACGTTAAGAAAGCCCCATCTTCGCCTCCAATGGTGAATTTCGGGCTTGCAATGGTCAATTGACCCCTCTTGCCCCTATGTGGATCTGCCCCTGATTTTAGATGCTTTGGATATTTCACATCCAAAGAATATGAGACATCCTGGGATAAGCTCCGTTGTAGCACGATATTGTCAGCTTTGGGCCCCCCTCTCTGCCCTCACGGTTTTGTTTCTGGGAGCTCATGAGTAACTTCCCAGTGAGTCACCCATCTTGGGATTGCTCTAGCCCCAACTCGCTTAATTTCGGAGTTCCCATAACTTCGAAGCCAGTGAGCTCCCAAAAGGTCTCGTGCTAGATGGAGGCGGACATGTACATATAAGACACATCACCCCCTCTCCATTGGTTGATGTGGGATGTTACAGAATATTAGTGATCAACTGACCTCACTATAACCAGAACAAAAAGAAAAAAATTTAGAGAATATATTTGCACTGTATCAATTGAGAGTAATCGGTCGTTTGCAACATCACTACAACACCCATGTGTCATTAGATGAGTTTTACTTTGAGGCCCTATTTGGTTCATGGGAAAGGAGACTTGGGGATAAGAAATTAATTACTTTTCCATGTTTGGTAAGTCCAGACATGGGAAATCGTTGCCTGGTCCATGGAAAAGTAGAGGGAAAAGTGAAGTCATCCTCCCAACTTAGGTTTTGTTTTCCATTCTCATGAGAAAGTTTGGAAAAATGAGCCAATATTAAATAAACATTTTTCATGAACATTTTGTCCCCATTAACAATTTAGAATTACAATATATCATTAAATGCATTCTTCTTTTATTTGATTTAATATGGGTATAATTGAAAGTTGATACAAACTTTGTTTTCCATTCCTACTCAAAACAAACATGGGAAAGGAAATAAAGTGATATCTCCCGGTTACTTTCCTAGTATGACCAAACTTGGGAAAGGAATCTTTCATTTCCCATCCCTTGGGAAATGACATGAAAAATGATTTTCCCTCAAATTTGTTCCGTGAACCAAACGGAGCCTTAGGATTTGAGGAGTGAATAAATTAAATCACACTCATCCAACACTATCGTGATTCGTGATACTCATGATCATGACCAATTAATGGTGGTGACCAACTCTATTCCCAAAATTTTAAAGAGGCTGGTAATGTTGGGTAAATAATGTACAAAGGTTTCCACTTCGTATTCCACACAGTATGGCAATGTTAGGTAAATAATCACAGTTTGACTAATTCGTACTATAAATATTCTTATGGAAAATACTTGCATCATGCCCTTGTAAGTAGAACTTGTACTCCTGTCAATCACAGTTTGACATGTATGTAAATTTTGTTTTTGTGTGTGTGTGTGTGTGTTTTTTTTAATGAATTATTTTGCATGTGTCAAATTGTTATTAATTTGCATAAATGAGGCAGGCAATGTCCTAATCTTAACATATCCACATACAATTACTGATAATGTGAATGCCTAGAGAAGGGTGAATAGGCCAATTTAAAATTATAATCAATGAACAAAAAATAAACTTTGGTAGCAGGATTGATATGACTTATCAATCCTGAAACGTGTTTAGCATAAAATAAAGGAACACGTAGAGAATTATTTTACGTGGTAAAACCCCACCCCTGGGGAATATCCACGGGACTCTTCAGTTCAACACAAATCCACTATAGAATGATGATTACTAGAAGTACTCACGCACTTATTCTAGACATGTTCTAGATAATATGTTTACCGACTTCTTCATAACTCAACTTCTGTCACGGGATGATCTTTCGACACTCCTTATGTTGAACGCAATACTGGTCACGATTGCTTCAAGCTCGCGGAGGAAAACCGCCACCACGGTCTTGGTACCCTTAAACGTATGAGTCACTGAACAATGCAAATGAATGCAATATGAATGATTAAAGTGTTTGATAAATCACCAAGTAAACATGGAACACTTGATGATTTATCTCGAATATATGCACACATCTATTCTAGATAAATTTAGATGATCGATCAAAACATGTGAAAAGTTGTTCAAACAAGAAAATGCACGCTATGTCTTTATACAAACATGTTGTGTAACATCCCACATCGACCAACGGAGAGAGGGTGATGTGCCTTATATGTACATGCTCACCTCCATCTAGCACAAGGCCTTTTGGGAGCTCACTGGTTTCGGATTCCATGGGAACTCCGAAGTTAAGTGAGTTTGGGCTAGAGCAATTACAGGATGGGTGACCCACTAGGAAGTTGCTCGTGAGTTCCCAGAAACAAAACCGTGAGGGCAGAGAGGGGGGCTCAAAGCGGACAATATCGTGCTACAACAGGGCCGATCCAAGGATGTGACATGTTGCACTTTTTGCAAGAGAAAATTCATAAAGCCAATATATCAATATCTTGCCTAATCAGATTTGATTCTATAAAAGTCCTATTCAATTTCATCACACTACCAAAAAAAAAAGTGGCAACATTTACCATTATTCGGTGACATTTGGTGACTGTTGTGGGGGTTACTAAAGGCTTTAGTCACTAAAAAAGGCTAAAAAGGTGACTAAAAGCCTTTTTAGTCACCAAAAAAATCAAAAAAGGTGACTAATGCCTTTTGTCACGGCCACAATTGTAACCAAATAATGGTGACTGTTACCACTTTTTTTACTAGTGTCATCTTATTCACTCTTCAAGATAACTTCCAATCCCATTAGATTATACAAGCCTACAATATTAATCAATGAGAGTAATGCTACACTTACCACATTTTTATCCCACATTTCTATACCACATGATGTGGCATGTCCATATCATATGTCACATCAATTAAATCAATGAAGTGTATTTTAATAAAGAAAGTTTAATGAATAGTTTTTTTTTTAAGTGTTAATAAATCATAAAAGAAAAGAAAATATTAAATAATTTTAATTGATATGGTTGTCCACCTCATCTGCCACATAAGATGGTATGAGAATGTGGTATACAATGTGGTAAGAGTATAACCAATTTGGGTATTAAAAAAAAATGCTCTCCAAGTCAAATATGAAAAATGATATTTTTACTTAAACCAAAATAAGGTCCAAATAGGAAAATAATCTTAATAGATAAAATCTAATCCTATTAAAAAGAGGACTAATATAAAAGAAAAAATGAGTTTCCTTTTCACATGCCAAAAATCCCGCCCTCTCAAGAGATTAAAAGAAGGGTTAATGACATTTTAGTACCCTGAACTTACAACGTTAAGGCATGTTAGTCCCTGCCTTTTCAATTTTAACAATCGCATACCCCGAGCTTGTAAATTTGTTACAATGTGGTTCCGCCGTTAGGGTTTCCGTCAGATCTCTCCGTTAATTGCCTACGTGGCATTTATAGGTCCCATATTTTTCTTTTTTTAATTTTAAATTGATTAATGCATGAATAAAATATTATTTTTTTGGGAAAATTGAAGAAAAAAAGAAAAAAAAAATCTTAGGAATTTTCTTCTCCCCTTTTCCCCATGACCACCAGACCTTCCTACCCCCTTTCTTCTCTCTTCTTATCCTGACTAGCCTCCACCTCACCACCATACCAACTACAAAGACCTTCCCCATCTTTCTTTCAACTGAGCTGCAGAACCCATCACAAAACCCGCACCTTACCCTCGGAAGACGATTTCTTGCGATTTTTTCTCCCCCATCACAAACCCAGACCCATCCCTCCCCCTTCCTCCTCCACCCCCCTAACCTCCAAATTTCTTCTCCGCAACCCTGACCCTTTGCCTACATCTGCATGATCGCTTCAATGTCTTGTTGCTTGATCAGATTTAGATATTTTTTATTGATGTGATTTTTTTTGGGGTTATTGATGGGTAGTGCTTGGTCGATTTGGATATGTGAGGGTGGTTAGGGCCAAGAACTAAAATATCGATGATATCGGAAATATCGGCAGTCTAAAAAGATGGAAATTTCGATGGAAATATCGGGATATTATCGATATCGATAAAAATTGAATAAAACTCACGGAAATTGTAAGAAAAACTTGAAAAAAATTTATTGAAACTTTGGAGAATGTTTATTTAGTCAATTATCTATTAGTTTATCACAAAAAATTAGAAGGAAATGCATTACATGATGGATTTAACTGATTTAAGTTGATTATGCAGCGAACTGGCAAACACTGTGAGTGTATAAAATATGTAGTAATTAATGAAAAAAGATTAAACACACCATAATCATTTATATATAACGATTTACTACAATATTTTACACTTCATACATTACATGAGTGATTTAGTACCACATATAGTTCCTATAAGGTTCAAATTTTTCACTATCTTCATCATCTCTATGTGTAGAGTATGTGTATTGTGAAGAGTGGTCATCAAATGATAAATCCCCAAAATAGTTTTGTATGTAATTGTTAACATGTCACCCATATAAATATAAATATTTTAGCATATTATCACAAAAACATAAGTGATATGGTGATTAAGGTGTCGGAGGAGTAAAATGGGAGGGGTTTAAGTCCCCTTTGTGTTTTTTTTTCTTTTTTTTTCTTTTTTTTTCCCTTTACATCGATATTTTCGATATTTTTGCAATATTACATCGATATTTTGACAAAATATTGCTGAAGTGTGAGCGAAATTATCGACATCGATATTTTCCGATATTATCGTCGATATTTATACGATATGTACATAGATATGTTCTGAAATATCCGTGATTCGAAAAAACCGAAATATCCTCGATATTTCGTCGATATTATCGATATTTCAGACTATGGTTAGGGCTATGAAGGCTGGTTGCCGGAGTGTGCTGGGTCGTGGAAGAGACAGTGGGTTGCGATAAGGCAGATGAGGGCGTTTGGGTGGGTTGCGATAGGGTAGTGGGGGTGTTTGGCTAGGGAGACTAGGATAGGGTGGGTGTCGTGATCAATTTTTTGGTAGAGAGATGAGAGCATTTCGCCAATTTCTCTCACCCTCCATCGCAGCACAACCATCCAGCGCCTCTTTCCCCTATAACCACCGCCCTCCAACCCCCAACGAATCTAGAACCCCAACCCAGCAACCACCTCCCTTTCCCCCCCTCCCCCTCCCCAGCGGGATTTCCCTTTGTTGTTGAGAAACCACCCCACAGAGCCCTCCCCCCTCCTCCCACATTATGTTTTTCACCAACAAACCCTCAAACCCAACCACAGATGCAAACAATGTTCAAATTTTTTTTTCTTTCCAATTTGATGGTTTTGAATTTGCAGAGAGAGAAAGGGGTAGAGAGCAGAGAGAAGAGAGAGAGAGAGGAAGATCGGCAGATAAAGGGAAATCGGGGGGGGGGGGGGGGGGGGGGGGGAGGAGGGGTAGAGGGTGGGTGGGGGGTGGTTGGTGGTGAGGGGGGGGGCGGTGGTCATGGGGGAAGGGGGCGCTGGGTGGTTGCGTTATGGTATGGGTTTGATCGGGGGAACGCAGAGAGAGAGAGAGAGAGAGAGAGATTTTTTTTTCTTGGGTTTTTAATATTTTATTCATATTTTAATCAATTTCAAATTTAAAAATGTAAAAAATGTGGGACCCACAATGCTATGTAGGCAACTAACAGAGATACTTGATGGAAACCTAACGGTGGAACCACATTGTAACAAATTTACAAGCTCAGGGTATGCGATTGTTAAAATTGAAAAGGCAGGGACTAACATGTCTTAATGTTGTAAGTTCAGGGTACTAAAATGTCATTAACCCTAAAAGAAAACTGCTAGCATATGGATTTTTGGTAGTGATTAGCCATAATAGCCAAGCAACTGCTAGGGATTGCTACCTATATAGCACAGCCGCCTAATTGCTCCAGAAATTAACTCAACTATCCAGTTGACTTAATTGTATCCCAGTACAATTGGATAATCAACTACAAACACAAAAGTAGGTAGTTCTTCAATGTAGAACGCTGGCCTTTTCAAACGCAGTTCTTCAATGTAGAATGCTGCCCTCCCAAGAGATTAAAAGAAAACTGCTAGCATATGGATTTTCGGTAGTGATTAGCCATAATAACCAAGCAACTGCTGGGGACTGCTACCTATCACAGCCGCCTAATAGCCCCAGAAATTAACTCAACTGTCCAGTTAACTTAATTGTATCCCAGTACAATTGGATAATCAACTACAAAATTCCACAAAAGTAGGTAGTTCTTCAATGTTTAAGGCAGGCCATGCCGCGGTCTAATATTCATGACATTATTTTCCACACTTAACAGAATCTACTATCAAGATATGGCCACAGAGCATCAAGGTTGAAATCTTTGAGAGGCAACAAGTAGTGGGGCTTTTGCCTACAATGTAGTTCTAGTTATATTCAATTCAATGTAGAACCCGATCCATTATAAGGTAGACCAGCCCCATTGTTCCAATTCACAGTTTGTGCTTGCATCACTTGAAATCAAGGTTGAGCAAAATGGCCACAGAAATCAAGGTTGAAATCATCCAGAGGCAAACAGTTAAACCATCCTCCCCAACTCCTCATCACCTTAGAAATTATAAGCTCTCTATTTTGGATCAGATGGCCCTTCAAACCTACATCCCAATCCTTCTCTTCTATCCCAATGCTGCTGATGCTACTAGCAACAATGTCATGGCCACCAATGAAAGATGTCAGCATCTAATGCAATCCTTAGCTAAAACTCTCACTCACTTCTATCCTTCGGCAGGAAGAATCAAAGGTGACGCCGTGATTGAATGTAACGATGATGGAGCTGAGTTTGTGGAAGCCCGAGTTAAGTGTTCCTTATCAGAGATTTTCGAACACCCAGATGCCGAGATGTTAAGACGATTCCTACCAGTTGAACCCGAGTCTAGAGAAGCGGGCACCGGCACGTTGCTTCTTGTTCAAGTCAACTTGTTTGAGTGTGGTGGAATGGCAATTGGGTTTAGCATTTCTCATAAGTTTGGTGATGCCACAACATTAAGCACATTCATCAATTGTTGGACTGCAGCTGCCCATGATCAGTCAAATATGTTAAAGCTTCCCAAATTTGGTGCTGCATCTCTGTTTTCTCCACTAAATTTCTCTAACTCAGAGCCACTGCCATCCGTGGAAGTCGATAAGGAAAAGTTCATAACAAGGAGGTTTGTGTTTGATGCCTCAAAGATTGCTGCTCTCCAATCTAAGGTAACCAGCTCAGTTGTGCCCAAACCAACAAGAGTAGAAGCAGCTTCAGCACTCATTTGGAAATGCAAAATTGAAGCATCATCCCGATCATCATCAAACACGTTGGGGACTAGCCTAATAAGGCCATCAGTCTTCTCTCACTCTGTGAACATGCGTAAAATGGCAGTGCCACCCTTGCCAGAAAACTTGGTTGGGAATCTAGTAGATTTTTCGACAACCAACTATTCTCACTCTGGAGAGAATTCCACTGTGATAGATTTGAAAGGCTTGGTGGCAAAAATCAGGGGAGGACTTGAAGAAACAAAAGAACGCTATGCTGCAGTAGTAGTATTTGATTCTAACGAAGCATGGCAAAAAATGAAATGGTACATAAACCTGATGAAAAATGATGACATAGACAAGTTTATCTGCTCAAGTTGGTGTAGGTTTCCATTTTATGAAGCCGATTTCGGATGGGGAAAGCCATCATGGGTGAGCTACGTTGCTGTTGCAATTAACAATGTAACTGTTTTGATGGACAAAAGAGATGACAATGGAATAGAAGCATGGGTGACTCTGAGCCAAGAGAACATGGCCTTATTTGAAAGCAACAAGGAGCTGCTTGAATATGCTTCTCTGAACCCTGGGGTCACCAACTGAGTACTGATAAGAGAGCTGGCCAATAGTACGTACCGTCCTCCTCTGACATGGTTGTGATATCAATAAAACAGTAGAATTGTTGGAAACTTGGAGTCAAAGTGAATGTTCGATCTAAGAGTTGAACAAGTTTGAATGATTTGATAATGTATTAGCATTAATGGAATCAATTGTGGTATCTATGGTTGAACTCTATAGGCCTTATAGCTTTGAGATTTTATAGCCATTTATTCCCGTAAGCATCAGCCTCCAACACCTCCAACGCTTCTTTGATCTAGGCCATTTATTTTCAAATTCTTTTCCAATTGAACGGCTCAGATCTGACAAAGACCAACAATTTTTTTTAACCGTACACTATTCATTCACTCCAAAATCACATTGTTTACATTTCAATAGTCAATAGTCACTACGTCACGTTTTTTTTTTTTTTTTTTTTTTTTTTTTTTTTTTTTTTTTTTGTTTAGAAAATTTATTGATACCAGCGCCAAGAAGCAACTTAAATTGCAAAACAATACACACACAAAGAAAAATCAAAACATTAAAGTGGCTTTTAGCTCTAAGGGCTTTTCTTATTTTATAGCAAGCCTTATAGATTTTAATGCCAACTATTTTTTCATAAGCTTCAGAAGCAAACCGAACAAACTGAACCTGACCCCAGCTTCATTAGTTTGGTTTGGGTTGGTTTCCTAATAACACTTGCTTGATTTCGGGTGTGAAATGTTACAACTTGATTGAATCGGGCTGGTTGATGAATTAAGCATGAACTTGCAGAACCGACCCGACCCGTGCCCACCCTTCGTCGGAGGTAGGTGTCACTTTCAAATTTAGTCATGACTTCCTTGGCAAGGCTAACGTATGCCTCTACTCCACCAGGCTCCTTGGTGTCGAGGAAAACTATTATGTCCTTCACGGGCAGTGGTGGTAAGCTCACCCATATAGGTCTTCCCCAACCAAAATCATTATCATAGAGAGGAAATTGGCACAAACTACTGTGGTAAGAAGTAACCACCTCCCCTTTGCTAGCGCTTTGAGCAAGCCGGCCGATCAAACTCAGCTGCTCATCACCATGTTGTAGTCTTTTCACGAAGTCCTTGTCAATCTTGCTTATTGCTTCTCGTACCCGCCTTACCATGCCATAAGAAGATTCTTGATCACCATCATCATCATCCCCACTACTTAAGAAGGGAGCAGTCAAGGAATTACCATAAATGTTTCCAAAAGAATATGGAGACAGCGGTGGATCAATCAGCGGACGCAAGTCCACAGAGTGGATCAGGCTGTGCAACTTATTCTCATCAGCATGATCATCCTTGGTAGCTCCCACAAATCGCCTCCACATGAAAGCCGATAAGGCCTCGACAGGCGACGGTTGTTTCTCACCGTTTTGCAAGCCTGTATATTTTGCTCTGAGATCCTCTATCGTGGAGGCATCGAACACAAACCTCTTTGTTACTTTCTTCGTCGCGATACCAGCGCCCCAATTATAGCTGGTGATCCCCTTGGGTGGGAAGAGTGTGGCGGAAACAATTGGGGACGCTGTATTTCGACTTCATCACGGGCAATGGCGGCCCAAGTTTTGGTGAACATGAGCATGCATAGCAAATCAGCAAGCTTGTGGGAAGTGCATAGACCAATGGCAAAGCCTCCTTCAAACATATTGAGCTGGACACCGAGGGCAATTTCATTTGCAATATGCTCATCTTGCGCAAATGGGATAAATTTATTGAGTTCATCAGGGAGCGGATTGTTGAGAAAATCACAAAGCCGGCAGTTGGTTACTTGAGCCTCGAGGTAGGCAATTCCCTCATCATTGCAGTCCACAAAATGATCGTCGATTTTCACTCGTCCGGCTAGCGGGTAGAAAAGGGTTAAGACCTTGGCTAAGGACTTCTTAAGTTTCTTTGATACTTCATTAATAGCGGGTTGGGTCTCGCCATTAAATTCATAGAAAAACACCAAAGAGGTATACGATGGGGGAGTTAGTTGATCAAGAAAAGATAACTTGTAATGGCGAAGAGGGTTTGGGGTTGGAGAAGAGGGTTTGATGATCTCCTTGGAGATAACTTCCACGTGAACGTTCATTTTCTCTAAATATGTTGATATTGTGTGGTTCTTATATTTTGCATGGCATATGCATATATATATACATACACACACACACAATAGGCTGGTAGATAAGTATTTATCTAATTGTCACAAAGAGTTGAAACGATTAGTAATACTAATAATGTAATAACTGTTTGACCAGTTAGCAAAGGACCAAATTATTGGGCAGTAATTAAGGATTAAATCATTACACATGGGGCGCGTACTCAAAAATATTGCAAATGGGATTGCCTAATAACATAGAATTGAACTTCGAGGATTTTAAATAGAGCCCATGCGTTGCGTGGGGAAAATATAATATTTATATATATTGTGATCAAGATCTTCTAAGATCTATATATATTGGGTAAATTACTCAAATGGTCCTCAAACTTATACCTGATTTACATTTTGGTCTCTCAACTAAATTATTCGTTCAAATGGTCCACCAACTCTATATTATTCACTCTAATGGTCTTACCGTCTAATTTTATGTTAGATTTTACCTAATTTTAGGATAAATAATGACCAATTTGCCCTCATATTGAACGGAAATATTGACAGAATGTAACGGTAGAACCAATGGAGCGAATAATATAGAGTTGATGGACCATTTGAATGAATAATTTAATTGATGGACCAAAATGTAAATCGAGTATAAGTTTGAGGACCATTTGAGTAATTTACCCTATATATCCTATTGAGGAATCTCTCAAATAATTTTGTTTGAGGGACAGCCCCTAGGGTCCCTTACAAATTTTTTTTCAACGATCCAAATCATCTATTTTTCAAGTCTACATTCATAATCATCCTTGCAAAAATTAAACAAATCGGAAATCGTTTCGACATCTAATTGTGTCCTACAAAATCAATGAACATGGTGCTTCAAGAAAGTACTAAAATTTCAATAATTAAATTGACTGGTCAAACGATATCGGATTCAAGTGATTTTTTGTAGAGATGATCTTTGAATCATCTACAAAATATACGGTCAGAATTAGTGAAATAAAATATGGAGTGAGCCTACAAGTACGAAGGTGTCCCTCAAATAAACTTATTTGAAGATCCCTCAATAGAAACTCACTGATGGATGTTACATGTACTTGCTTGCTTGCTTATGGATGTCACATGTACTTGCTAATTTTCTTTATAAATTTCAGTTTGCTTGTGTTCTAAAAATCGTGGTACTTTTGTTTGTGTTCATTAAACTTGATTAAACCGGACTTTATGTAATCTGTAAGTAACTAAGGGATTCAAGAAAATAAATGGATTGACATAATCTCTATTAATATTCACAATTTCAAAAAAAAAATCTGCTGGTTTTCAATCTCAATGGGTAAGCACCATACCTGTGCCATGCACAATATAAATGGCAAAGCCTTATATATGGCCCCTTAAATTTCCTCTTCAACTCAACAAACCCAAAATCCTTTGCAAATGCAGGCAAATTTATAATTTAAGATCATGTTTAACTTGCAGAATATGAATAATCTCAAGTCATTGTTTGCCAGCTAAGCCTGCAATGTTCAAGTCAACTTGTGCCATACACGTGCATTTTTTTATGAGCATCTACCAATTTGAGACGTGATCATGTTGTACCCACTTGAGAAACAAAAAAACTATGAAGAAGATTAATAAACTGCAAATACTAACATTACGTTGCAGATTATTCATATATAGTTGACCCTTGATAGACGCATCTTCTTTTTCTTTTTCTTTTTTTTCTTTTTTTGAGAACCTTTTCTATTAAGAGAGGTGATAATATACTAAATTTACACAGACTATACAGATACTAGGATGCATCTTCTTTATGAACTCATGAGCACACCGCTCTTTTTCTTTTGGAAAGTGAAAGAAAAATCTTTTCTAGCACAGAGAAACCCTTGACAGTCAAGCAACCTGCGACACCTCCATCGATTTCATGCAAGAGATTACTTGAGTCTCCACAAAATAATTATGTACGAACCAAACGTAGTCTGGTGAAACATTCAAAATACTAAGGACTTAGATCAACAACTTCTACGTAGATTGCACCCAACATCTCTCATTAGAATTGAATTTATGTCAAATTTTCTATATTTTTAACTCGGAGCATTCTTTCTCAACCATTCATTAAGGAGAGAGTTCAGAGTTTAGCCTCGTCTTAAACCAATATGCACCGTATTGATACAATAATGAAAGAATATCAATACATGGTATTCTTTTAGGGCCCGTCTAGTAACAGTTTTGGAGAATGTTTTCAAAAAATGAAAAGTAGAAAACGAATTTGCTTTTCAGTATTCGAGAATGAGTCTGGTAGCTTAATATGTGAACTATTTTTTAAAGGCATTTTTGGTTAATGTATCCTCTAGAAAAAAAAAAATTTAAAATTAGAACAACATTATAATGTAGAAGAAAAAAACGAGAATTTTATTTAGAGAACATTATTTAAAATAAAATAAAAACCTCAACCCATAATAAGTCCAATAATATACGTACTGATCAAAATGCGTACAACCCATAATAAATCAACATCTAGAATTTTAGAGAGAGTGGATGTTGATATTCATAAAGTACAAATCAGAAATCGTTCTGAAATCGTTCAGAAGAGGGTTTGGAGTTGCAGATCTCCGTCAATTTATGATTATGTCCTGAGAGAATCTATCTGCTAGTATTTAAATTCCACCTAAAATGGTAAGTTGTCGGGATATATACATTAGGAATGTAAGTCTCTCTCGTCTTCATTAATTCCCACCTAACACATGTAACACATTATATTATACTATAAGCCAAGCTAAAATAATCTGCTCTTCAAAACTACAAGTCTCGTCTTCACAAAATCCCACCTAACTAAACTAATCACTCACACAAGAATTGTAAGACTCTCATTACATGCAGATCCTTTCTTTTGCCCATAAAGAAAGTAAGATGGCCACAGACTTATATATATTGGCGGACCTAAGAATTTTTGAATGGAGGTGCAATATTTAAAGGCACAAAACTTGATGAATGGACAAGTTTTTATAAAGACCTAAAATTCTCTAAAATACATATATATATATATATATATGAATATGATGTTTTATAAAGACTTTTATTTATTTAGCTAAGATGTTTGGTAAATACTTGGATAGAGTTCTTTCTTAAAAAAACCAAAAAAATACTTGGTGTGCTCAAAAATCTCTCAAAGTATCAATTTTTTTATAGCAGCATGAGAGGTTTAGTTTCCTAACTTTCCTCTCTTCTGTTTACAATAAGGACATCAACTTCATTTTCTCCAGTGGACCTGTCATTCTTCTGTGTTTCTTTCTCAGGTGGAATTTTCTCTGCACCCATTTTCTCCGAAAATTATAAATAAATAAAAGTGTCAAGCAAAACCCTCTCCTCCAAAACTCCACTCATCAAAGGACTTGGATCAACAATAGCTTCTACGTGGATTGCACCTAAAATCTCTCATAAGAACTGGACTTATGCCAAATTTTCTATATTTTTAATTCGAGCATTCATCGTGGAGAGAGTTTGAAGTTCAGCTATATACTTGTCACCCTCATCTTAAACCAATCGGCTCTTATTGTCACAAAAAACTTACGACTTAACGCTTCAAGGCTTACGCCTTGCTTTACAGGATCAAAAACGCGTCACCTTTACACCTCGCCTTTCAAAACTTTGGTATTGCTCTCTTATTTCCTTCTACCATCTCAATATTAAAGTTTGTTGGCCGATAGATATTTTGGGAAAACCTGTCAAATAGGACTTTTACTGTAACATTGTTCTCAAATGGATCCATGATATGTGGATATCACCTTGATATGGTGTCGATACCAATCTATCTTTATCTGCAATCTTACAGCAAAAAGCAATTGCAGATCTATCATTGTCCTGAGAGAATCAGTCCGCAAGTATTTAAAAGCCTAGCTAAAAGAATCTTCTTTTTTTTTTTTTTTTTTTTTTTTTTTTTTTTTTGTTTGGGGTCTGAAGTATCTCTCACCTTAAGTACAGCAGACCATTTTGATGTGTGAAGGGTAATCTTAAGGATTATTAGTGTCACAAAAAAGTTAGAGACAAAAGGTGATAATTTCGCAAACCTCATAAACCATTTGTGATTTGAAAAAAGCCTTATTTGTATCATTGGTGCCATTTGACTTCTTTCGGGAAATATGTGATAAAATGTGTTATAGAAACAATGGAACATGTTTAAGGAACATGTGAATCTGTCTGCAAGCATTTAAATCCCACCTAACACATTAATAAACCAATAAACAATCCCATCTAGCAACTAATCACCATGAGAGCCTTTAAATCCTGGACAAAAGAATCTGTCTGCTTTTTTTTGGGCTTATCCAATATAGATCCTTACATTTTCTATTTCCTAGACATATACCCATCACTCTATAAATCTATGTGTAAAACCCAATTTCAAATTTAAATGACTAATAGGATATAAGAGTCGTAGTATTTCTATGTTTTTACATCATTGCCACTAAACTTCATATTTTATTTATAATTTATTTCAAGCATTTCATTAACTGCCATAATTGTAATTAATATACTCCCTATTAATAACATATCAATCACCCCATTTCTTTTAGTTGTCATTCCCTCTCACATCTCGCCCCCTAAAATTACAAACAAAACAAAAAATCTGTAAATTACATATCCAATAATGTACCTATAATATAAATATATACATATAAATATATATTTATATTAAAAAAAAAAAAAAAAAAAAAAAAAAAACAGTTACTTTGTAATTGCGTATATTTTTCATAATTAAAAATAGGTACACAATAATTTATATAAAATATAGGTACATTATTTACCCACAAGTAAATTATTTACAATATACCTGTAAATGTGCATAGGTACATTGTTTGGAATAGATAATTATGTACACTTTTCATACTAGGTAAATTATGTTTTTCATAAAACAAACAAGTAATAGTTACATTATTTTTTCAACATAATTAGTATGTACAGTTTTATTCATAAACAATTATAAAGTGGATTATTAGTCATGTATAATTCATAAAAAGAAAATAACATAAACATTTTATTAAACAAACCGATTACCTAAATTTGAATTTATTGTTAAATTTTTTAAAAAATGTTCCAAAATTAATTCCTACATCCATTACAACCATTTGGAGATCTTTCCAAATTCAACATTGTCATTATATACAATCCAATTAAAAACTGTTTCCATATTGATTCATACATTAATATACAAAATACAATAATGGCTTAGTTGGGGGTATTTTTGGAATCTGAAAAGTACAATAAATCAGATTTTATGCTTAATTAGGTAACTTGCTGAGTTGGATCATAGTCATGGGTTTTTACTTATACAAATTGGGTATTATTTATAGGAACAAAAAGTGAAGGGTTTTAGGTAAGGTAAATTGAATTTGAAGGGTGTAAGCCAAATTTACTATTTTTTTTGGTCTGAAGAATCTCTGAGCTAGAGCCACCATCAAAACTACTAGTCTCGCGTCTTCATAAAATCCCACCAAACTAAACTAATCACTCACAGAAGAAGTTGGCATACTATACTAATTTATGTTATTCCTTGCAGATCCTTTCTTTTGCCTATATAGAGCAGTAAGATGGCCATAGACTTGATATAGCCTACAGCAAACGGTCATATTGGTTTGGAGCGAGATATAGCCTGTAGCAAACAAAGTAAGATGGCCACAGACTTGGTCAAGGTTGAAATCATTGAGAGGCAAACAGTCAAACCAGCATCCCCAACTCCTCATTCCTCGAGAACCATACAGCTCTCTGTTTTGGATCAGATGGTTCAAAGTCACGTTTACGCCCAAACGCTTTTCTTCTATTCCGCCAACAATAATATTACTTGTTCAGAAGGTGGAGCTACTTCTACAGACATGGCGGCCATGAGGATGAAGGAGAGAGATTATTGTCAGGATCTAATTCGGTCATTGGCTAAAACTCTCACTCACTTCTATCCTTTAGCAGGAAGATTGAGTAAAGGCCATGACATGATCCAATGCACTGATGACGGAGCTGAGTTCGTGACGGCCCGAGTCAAATGTTCCTTATCGCAGATTTTTGAACATCCAGATCCCGAGATGCTAACAGGGCTCGTCCCAGCAATTGGACAACCTGACGGTGATGGTGATGGTGTTTCCACGAGGCTCCCGTTGCTTGCTGTGCAAGCCAACTTGTTCGAGTGTGGAGGAATAACAATAGGGTTAAATATGTCACATAAGGTTATTGATGGCATCACAGCTAGCGCCTTCATCAGTTGTTGGGCCAAAACAGCCCTTAATGATGGTGACGATGATCAGGTACCCTTCATGGTCCCAAAATTGATGCTGCGTCTTATTTTCCACCACTAGATTTCTTAAACTCATCACAGCCATCATCAGCCGAGCTGGTGGGCATCATTAAACAAGACAAGTGCATAACAAAGAGATTTGTGTTTGATGCCTCAAAGATTGCCACCCTCCAATCAAATTTGGCCAGCGCATTGGCACCTCATGCACCGACACGTGTCCTTGTAGTTTCAGCACTCATTTGGAAATGTGCAATGGAAGCATCATCCAAAACATCAAACATACCACCATCTTCGATCCTACTAACTATGGACTTGCGTAGATGGTTTGAGCCACCCTTGCCACAAAACTTGGCTGGGAACGTTGTTGGTATTTTAGTAGTCACCGCAACAGCATCATTAAAAGGTCAAGAAGAGAGTAAAGAGACAATAGATCTAAAAGACTTGGTTGCCAAACTCAGTAAAGGTATTGCACAACAGAAAGAAACTTATCCTACAAAACTACCATTTGATTCTAATGAGGCATGGCAAAGGGCTCAAGAATATGAAAAATTGAGAGGGAATGTTGACATGTACCATTTATGCTCTGGAATTGGTGTAGGCTTCCGTTTTATGAAACCGATTTTGGATGGGGAAAGCCGACATGGGTGAGCATTCCTAGTATTGGTTGTAAGGATGCGTTTTATCTGATTGATAAAAGAGATGGCAAGGGAATAGAAGCATTGTTGAGTTTGAGTGAAGAAATCATGGAGCATTTTGAAAGCAATCCGGAGCTTCTTAAATATGCTTCTGTAAATCCAAGGGTCATGTAGCACTGTGTGTTAAGGTCAGAGTTTAGTCGAGTTTAATTAGTATTGTTGTGTCGTGAGAATAATTATTTTCATTACGCTAGCTGTGAGAATAATCACTTTCAATTGTTTTGTGAGAAGATGGTTATTGAATTTGTTGTCTTCATGAAAAGAAATATAATCAAATCAATATTATATTGCTCATATTATTATCCATCATTGGTTGTAAGAAAAACTAAAGATCTTACTGATAAAAAGAGAAAAAAAAATCTACAATTGTTGTATAATAAACGAATGGTACTGGAATATAAAGGTTGCACATAAAGTAAATAAAACACAATATTTGACGAGGTTCGGCAAGTTGTGCCTATGTCTCGGAGAGCATCAACAACACTAACCTTTTCACTATGTAAAATAATAGGGCTACAAAAGGAATATAACTTGGTGTTTACACTCTCATTGGCTCACATTTTTCTCTGGGAAAATTTCTCTCCTCTTGCTCTCCTATTTCTTCCTTCTCTGCCTAGGCTCTCGCTTTTCTTTTTTCTTTTTCTCTCTAGAGGTCTGAAATGGTACTTAGGTGACGAGGGGTAAATTTAAAAGATATTCAACCAAGAACGCAGCAAACTTCACACTTTAGACCTTGACACTCAGAAGGACCCGTCAATCTAGGCATCCCCTGTGCTAGCAACAACTATGGTAAAAGTGTGTGAAAACAGCATAATCAAGCAAACACCAAACAGCAGAAAAGGATGACTAGTCAATCCCACAAACCCAGATGACTAGTCAACTATCAAGAACACAAACCCAGAAAATTTACAGAGTTGGAAACCAGAAACTGTTCACCCAGAAACCCACCATTAGGGAAAAACTGGGGGTCATCAACCGACCAAGCAATCCACTAAGTAGAAAAAGATTCTTACAAAGGAACACAAGCAAGCTCAAGAAAAACCCAGATCTATTTAGGAAGATGAGCTATACCTCCTTTGTGCAATCTTCTTCTCCAACTAGCAAAGCTTGAAGCTCAGTTCTTCATGGCAATGGCAGCTCCTTCTCCAGCTCGTTCATCCCATGACACTAGCTTGCAAGCTCCAACACAAATCGAAACCAAAATTTGGATTCAAAGGAGAATGACCAATTTCTTCAAGAAACCATACTCTTAAAGAAATCAGTCTTGAATCTGACCTAGATATAAATGAGAGAATGATTTAAGTAGCTAGATGCAGATTCGTGTTTCAAATGCAGATTCGTGAAATCTCTCAAAGTATCAATTTTTTTATAGCAGCATGAGAGGTTTAGTTTCCTAACTTTCCTCTCTTCCGTTTACAATAAGGACATCAACTTCATTTTCTCCAGTGGACCTGTCATTCTTCTGTGTTTCTTTCTCAGGTGGAATTTTCTCTGCACCCATTTTCTCCGAAAATTATAAATAAATAAAAGTGTCAAGCAAAAACCCTCTCCTCCAAAACTCCACTCATCAAAGGACTTGGATCAACAATAGCTTCTACGTGGATTGCACCTAAAATCTCTCATAAGAACTGGACTTATGCCAAATTTTCTATATTTTTAATTCGAGCATTCATCGTGGAGAGAGTTTGAAGTTCAGCTATATACTTGTCACCCTCATCTTAAAACCAATCGGCTCTTATGTCACAAAAAACTTACGACTTAACGCTTCAAGGCTTACGCCTTGCTTTACAGGATCAAAAACGCGTCACCTTTACACCTCGCCTTTCAAAACTTTGGTATTGCTCTCTTATTTCCTTCTACCATCTCAATATTAAAGTTTGTTGGCCGATAGATATTTTGGGAAAACCTGTCAAATAGGACTTTTACTGTAACATTGTTCTCAAATGGATCCATGATATGTGGATATCACCTTGATATGGTGTCGATACCAATCTATCTTTATCTGCAATCTTACAGCAAAAAGCAATTGCAGATCTATCATTGTCCTGAGAGAATCAGTCCGCAAGTATTTAAAGCCTAGCTAAAAGAATCCCTTAGCTTTTTTTTTTTTTTTTTGGGGGTCTGAAGTATCTCTCACCTTAAGTACAGCAGACCATTTTGATGTGTGAAGGGTAATCTTAAGGATTATTAGTGTCATAAAAAAGTTAGAGACAAAAGGTGATAATTTCGCAAACCTCATAAACCATTTGTGATTTGAAAAAAGCCTTATTTGTATCATTGGTGCCATTTGACTTCTTTCGGGAAATATGTGATAAAATGTGTTATAGAAACAATGGAACATGTTTAAGGAACATGTGAATCTGTCTGCAAGCATTTAAATCCCACCTAACACATTAATAAACCAATAAACAATCCCATCTAGCAACTAATCGCCAAGCTAAAATAATCTGCTCTTCAAAACTACAAGTCTCGTCTTCACAAAATCCCACCTTACTAAACTAATCACTCACACAAGAATTGTAAGACTCTCATTCCATGCAGATCCTTTCTTTTGCCCATAAAGAAAGTAAGATGGCCACAGACTTGATATATAGCAAACAGTCATATTAGTTTGTAGCTAGCGAGATATAGCCTATAGCGAACAAAGTAAGATGGCCACACACTTGATCAAGGTTGAAATCATTGAGAGGCAAACAGTCAAACCATCATCCCCAACTCCTCATCCCTTGAGAACCCTACAGCTCTCTGTTTTGGATCAGATGCTTCCTAGTCACGTTTACTTCCCAACGCTTCTCTTCTATGCCGCCAACAATAATATTACTGGTTCAGGAGGTGGAGCTACTTCCACAGACACGGCGGCCATGCGGATGAAAGAGAGAGATTATTTTCAGCATCTAATTCAGTCATTAGCCAAAACTCTCACTCACTTCTACCCCTTAGCAGGAAGATTGAGTAAAGGCCATGACATGATCCAATGCACTGATGATGGAGCTGAGTTTGTGACGGCCCGAGTTAAATGTTCCTTATCGCAGATTTTTGAACGTCCAGATCCCGATATGCTAACAGGGCTCGTCCCAGCAATTGGTCAACCTGATGGTGATGGTGATGGTGATGCCACGAGGCTCCCGTTGCTTGCTGTGCAAGCCAACTTGTTCGAGTGTGGAGGAATGGCAATAGGGTTGAATTTCTCACATAGGGTTGTTGATGGCACCACATCTACCGCCTTCACCAGTTGTTGGGCCAAAACAGCCCTTGATGATTGTCACGATGATCAGGTACCCTTCATGGTCCCAAAATTTGATGCTGCGTCTTATTTTCCACCACTAGATTTCTTAAACTCATCACAGCCATCACCACCCAATCTGGTGGGCATCAAGTACATAACAAAGAGGTTTGTGTTTGATGCCTCAAAAATTGCAACCCTCCAATCACATTTGGCCAGCGCATTGGCACCTCATGTACCGACTCGTGTCCTCGTAGTTTCAGCACTCATTTGGAAATGTGCTATGGAAGCATCATCCAAATCATCAAACATACCATTGGGGTCAAGACCATCTTCGTTCAAAATGGCTATGGACTTGCGTAGACGATTTGAGCCACCCTTCCCACAAAACTTGGGTGGGAACGTTGTTGCTAATTTAGTAGTCATCGCTACACCATCGTTATTAAAAGGTCAAGAAGAGAATGACGATGAGACCATAGATCTAAAAGACTTGGTTGCCAAACTCAGGAAAGGGCTTGAACAGCAGAAAGAAACTTATCCTACAAAACTACCATTTGATTCTATTAAGGCATGGCAATGGGATCAAGAATGTCAAAAGTTGACAGGGAATGTTGACATGTACCATTTATGCCCTGGAAGTTGGTGTAGGTTTCCTTTTTATGAAGCTAATTTCGGATGGGAAAGCCGGCATGGGTGAGCATTCCTAGTATTGGACTTAAGGATTTGGTTATTTTGATTGATAAAAGAGATGGCAAGGGAATAGAAGCAATGTTGAGTGTTACTGAAGAAATCATGGAGCATTTTGAAAGCAACCCGGAGCTGCTTAAATATGCTTCTGTAAATCCAAAGGTCATGTAGCACTAAGTGCTAATTAAAGAAGGTCTGAGTTTAGTTTAATTGATATTGTTGTGATTCTGTTGTCAGAATAATCAGTTTCAATTCTATTGTCAGAATAATCAATTTCAATTATATTCCAAAATCTAAGTATTAAAGTCGAGTTTAGTGTAATTAGTATGTCGTAATGTGAGAATAATCATTTTCACTATGATGTGCAATCTTTGGAAAATACTTTCTTTTTTCCTGGCCAAGGATTAGTCTATAGAGTATACGTCTAGCCATTATCCTAGCCATTTGTTCTGAAGTTGGGGACATCAATGGTTGATCCTAACCGTTAGTATTTTCAACTTAGAGCACCCACCAAAAAAAAAAAAAAAAAAAAAAAAAAAAAATGGCAACAGTCACCATCATTTGGTAGATAGGCCCAAATTTAAATTTAAGCCATATTATAGCCTCGGCCTGAGTTTCGATTGTTTGATCTGTCGTCCCCTTGCTGTTCAACTCAAGAGGAGGAAACTGATGAGATTTTGCCCACTCCGAAGACTTCTTCAGCTCCAGTACCACACCAATCACCTGCTGAAGATGTCATTCAGGTAACATCTTATCCTGAAACTGATAACACTAATGAATATTCCATTATGATTTAATTTCAGAAGGCACAGAGCCTACATATCAGCTTCCAGAAAGGAAGAACCGTGGCAAACCTCGAGTACAATGTGAAGCAGATCTTAAAGCTAAAGGAAAATACCCTATCAATAATTATATATCTTTCAACAGATTATCAGAGTCACGTGTGCACTATGTGAAGCAGTTGGCTGACATATCTGTCCCCAATAGTGTAATTGAAGCACTAGAAGACCCAAAATCCTTCTTTGTTGCTAGACCAATTTATAAACTCAATATATCTTTCTTGCAGACTATGAAAAATCTTAACTGATTGTTTCCAAGCAGTCAACATTACCCTGCCAAACACATTTTGTGATCCCTTTCCGAACATTAGAACCACAGACGACATGTTTGGTCTATCACAGGCACGTCGTTGCACACACAACAGACCCACATGAACACACATTAACATTTTGGATATGTTTTTTATTGATATGAAACGCAATTACAAGGTTAGATAGGCCCAAATTTAAATTTAAGCCATATTATAGCCTCGATCCGAGTTTCAATGGTTTGATTTGAATTGGTTTCTTAATTACATTCGACTGATCTTGGGGGGTTAATACATCGGCTAAGGACTTCTTAAGGTGATTGGATATTTCCATAATGGTGGGTTGTGTCTCGCCATTGAATTCATAGAAGAGGACCAAAGAGGCGTACACTGGATGATGTGTTTGATCAAGAAGGGAAAAGTTATAATTGCGAAGATGGTATGGGGGTTGGAGAAGATGGTTTGATAATCCCTTTGGAGATTACTTCCACTTCAACGTTCATTTTTCTCTCTAATATTTGTTTGTTCTCACTTCTGTGTGGTTGTTTTACTTTGCATGCCCTACTGTCATTGAATTTATACAGGCAATAGACTGACAGAGAAGTCTTTGTTTAAGGATCTTATCACCACTAGTGCAAACAATTTGAACGCTACTGAAAACAATTTAAATATTGGCTAATGATTATTAATTAAATATTCAGATGGATCCAAATATATATACAAATTTAACTGGGGTTGGGCTTGCCCAATAAAAAGAGTCAGCCAAGCCTCTTTGCCATCCTCTTGTCTTCTGTCAGGATACGTCGATAGAATCTTCAAGGGAAAGATCCAAATATATATTAAAATAGTACAGCGGTGCAGCTATACTATTTTTTTTTAAAAATGGTCATGTACAGCGGCTCGGCTATACTATTTATTACCCCAAAAAAAAAAAGGACTCGCCTTGGTGGCCCTTTTTTATATTTTTATTTTTATTTTTTATAATTATGAGTATAGCCTATTAATTTTAAAAAATTAAAAAAATTAAAAAAACCCCAGTATAACCGCGCAGCTATACTCTTTCCCTGTGTTTGGATGAGGGAAAATAACTCGGAATTTAGGTAAAAGTCAGGAATTGAAGAAGAGAAATTGACAATTCCCTTGTTTGGCAAACTTAAACGCGGAACTTATTAAATGACGCGTGGAAAAAATCATGGAAATTGAGGTATCAAATTCCCGAGTTTAATTTCCACCAAAATAGGCGTCATTTCACAATTTCCGTAGTGCGGGAATTCATATTTTCCTGTGTGCCAAAACTTACATAAAAAAAAACCCACCAAACTTATAAAAAAAAAAAAAAAAAAAAAAAACCAAAAACCAAAACTGAAACTGAGTATAGCCAGAGAAGTAAGGAGAAGGAGTTCTTCTGGGTTACATGGCTCTTTGGATCAAGTTTGAAGGTTAGTCTTCAAGCCTTTCTCTCCTTCAATTTATATTTTTTTATTTTAGGGTTACCATGGTTTCTGAATGGCTATCAAAATTGGGTGTTTTTGACTAAATTTATGAATGTGTTGAATGGGTTTTGTGATCTTTGCGGCACTGTGGCTGGATTTTTGGGAAGTTTTAACAAAATACTCTATGCCCATGGATATTGGTGTGTGATTGGTGTTTATGGTACGCTCTGTAGTTGTTTGCTAGCTTTATCACTTTGTGTTATCGCCTTGCTCTGTAGTTGTTTGTTAGCTTTATCGCTTTGTGTGAGCCATTAGATGTTGATTGTAAGCTACACCAACTTGCTCGTAAGCTGCAGCTTGGCCAAGGTGCTCCTTCATTCTTTGGGACTTAAATTAAGTCTTATGATAGTGATTCATTGATTTCATCATTTATTCCTATACTTTTGTTTGCAACTTTTTAATCAAAGCCCTTTCAGTTTCTCTGGTCATTGGTCTTTTGCCAAGTGAAAAAGAAGTATCAGGGTCTTGATTGCTGATTGCTTCTAGTTCTAATTCCATAGGCACCCCCAATTGAGAAAAAAAAAAGTATGTTACTGATGTTCATTGCACGTGGGGAGTGATTTGGTTTGCTAATATGCTTTGTTTGTTTAAGTTGAGTTATTTAGTTCATCAAACGATATGTTATTTCATACTTCAAGGAATACCTTCTATGTCAGTTATCAGTTTTTTTGTTTTTTCGAAATATTTAATTTCTTTCATTTATAATTTACATGAGCTATCCAAACATTGAAATTTTCAATTTCTGTTATTTACAAAATTCGACATACATAAATTCAAACACTGAAATCTTCAATTGCCAGAAATTGAAATGACGGAAATCTAAATTCCGTCATTTTAAAATTCTATGTAATTTGCAATTCCTTCATCCAAACGGAGCATTTAAGTATAGCAATGCGGCTATACTTTTTATTTTTATTTTATTTTTTTAACGTGTTCCCTAGCAATTTTGAAATTTTGTGGCCTACTTCCATTTATTAGTTATTAATTTGCTAATTTCAAACATATCAAAAATATTGATTGATAAGAGGAAAGAAGATAGAGATTTGAGAAAAAATTTGTAAAGTTCTTTTTTTTTTTTTTTTTTTTTTTTTTTTTTTTTGTTTGTGGGAATGTTGCCTTTGATCTACCTCCTTATCTCAAATGCTACTAAATAATGTTATTGCACACATTGTTTGTCTTAAATAATTGCATGCTGAGTTGTAGTGGTCTTGGTAATTGCTTCACTTTTCAAACAACACTTTAAATGAAGATATCACCTCTCTTACTACTGTACACACAATATAAATGGCAAAGCCTTATATATGGCCCCTTAAATTTCTTCTACAACTCATCCTTTGCAAATGCAGGGAAATTTATAATTCGAGATCATGTTTAACTTGCAGAATATGAATAATCTCAAGTCATTGTTTCCCAGCTAAGCTTGCAATGTTCAAGTCAACTTGTGCCATACACATGCATTTTTTTATGAGCATCTACCCATTTGAGACGTGATCGCGTCGTCTTGAGCTACTGTTGTACCCACTTGAGAGAATAAAAAATAAAAAAACTATGAAGAAGATTAATAAACTGCAAATGATAGCATTACGTTGCACATTATTCATATATAGTTGACCCTTGATACACGCATCTTCTATTTCTTTTTTCTTTTCTTTTTTTGAGAACCTTTTCCTATTGAGAAGGGTGATAATATACTAAATTCACACACACTATATGGGATGCTAGGATGCATCTTCTTTATGAACTCGTGAACACATTATTCTTTTTCTTTTGGAAGTGAAGAAAAATCTATTTTCGCATAGAGAAACCCTTGCCAGTAAAGCAACCCGCGACACCTCCCTCGATTTCATGCAAGAGATCTCTTGAGTCGCCACAAAATAATTATGTAAGAATCAAACGCAGTTGGTTTTGGCAAATTTGCACTGCTTTTAGCATTTGGAATAACTAAAAGCGTTTTTGACAATAGTTGTCAGAAAAACTTGAAAGCAATATATTAGGGGAGGGTCCCCTAGGGAATCAAAGAAAGGATATATGGATAAATGTTATTGCATTGTTTTGGGCTTTTGGAATGTTTAAAAGCCTTTTAATATAACAAAAAGCGCTTTTCATAGCATTTGGAAGCAAAACAAGTGGTTATGAAAAGCGCTTTTCAAGTCTATTTTTGCTAATTTCTGTTCTAAACAAAATTTAAAAAATGATGATTATGTTTTAAAGGCTAAAATGATTATAACATGAAAAAAAATAAGGATATTTTTTAAAAAAAAAAAAAAAAAAAAAAAAAAAAAAAAAAAAAAAAAAAAAAAAAAAAAAAAAAAAAAAAAAAAAAAAAAAAAAAAAAAAAAAAAAAAAAAAAAAAAAAAAAAAAAAAAAAAAAAAAAAAAAAAAAAAAAAAAAAAAAAAAAAAAAAAAAAAAAAAAAAAAAAAAAAAAAAAAAAAAAAAAAAAAAAAAAAAAAAAAAAAAAAAAAAAAAAAAAAAAAAAAAAAAAAAAAAAAAAAAAAAAAAAAAAAAAAAAAAAAAAAAAAAAAAAAAAAAAAAAAAAAAAAAAAAAAAAAAAAAAAAAAAAAAAAAAAAAAAAAAAAAAAAAAAAAAAAAAAAAAAAAAAAAAAAAAAAAAAAAAAAAAAAAAAAAAAAAAAAAAAAAAAATATCGGATTCAAGTGATTTTTTGTAGAGATGATCTTTGAATGAATATCTGCAAATAACGGTTTGAATTAGTGAAATAAAATATGGAGTGGGCCCTACAAGTACGAAGATGTCCCTCAAATAAACTTATTTGAGAGATCCTTCAATAGAAGCTCACTAATGGATGTTACATGTACTTGCTTGCTTGCTTATGGATGTTACATGTACTTGCTAATTTTCTCTATAAATTTCAGTTTGCTTGTGTTCTAAAAATCGTGGTACTTTTGTTTGTATTCATTAAACCTGATTAAACCGGACTTTATGTAATCTGTAATTAACTAAGGGATTCAAGAAAATAAATGGATTGACATAATCTCTCGCGTTAATATTCACAATTTCAAAAAAAAAATCTGCTGGTATTTCAATCTCAACTGGGTAAGCACCATACCTGTGCCATGCACAATATAAATGGCAAAGCCTTAGATATGGCCCCTTAAATTTCCTCTACAACTCAACAAACCCAAAATCCTTTGCAAATGCAGGCAAATTTATAATTTAAGATCATGTTTAACTTGCAGAATATGAATAATCTCAAGTCATTGTTTCCCAGCTAAGCCTGCAATGTTCAAGTCAACTTGTGCCATACACTTGCATTTTTTATGAGCATCTGATGTATAATTTTACTACCTGAAAATTAGATAGTTAAATTCAAGAAATAAACTTGCAAGCGCACAAGGTTAATGCAATATAGCCAAGGCAAGTACAAGGTCG